TTGGGGATGACATTTAAATATGAAAATTACAATTCGTATCTGAGAATCATGAACTTCAGGAAACTTGCTAGGAATAATAAATATTTTTATAAAATCCATTTCATGAGATATGTTGCCATAATAATCAACCCATCAGTGACTTTCAGGAAACTTGCTAGGAATAATAAATATTTTTATAATATGTAGTTATTTATTTTATTTGTTATACATCTTTGATTAAAAATAATCAATTGGGTCCCTTTTTTTATAAAACTAATTATAATATGAGATAGAAAAAAAATTTAAGTATTTAAATTTAAATTTATTAAATATTATTTTTTAAAATATAAATATTTAAATTTAAATTTATTAAAAGTTATTTTTTTAAGAATAACCACATGCATTAATTGAACTAAATAATTTTTTGAGTTTTATGGATTTGTTTAAATGCACAAAAAAATCTTATAATTTACTTTTTATTGCCTTTTGGCATTGGCTTTTCTCTTAGCATATTCATGCACATACCTTAACTCTTTTTTTCGTTTTGAAGGACACATCCCTTAACTCTTAAGCTCAAGCCAAAAGAAAGTAACTTTTTTTTTCTAATTATAATGTTTATATTTATATCATCATATTTATCTTTATAAGAAAAAAAATGGAGTTTATCTTTATTCAACAAAAATCTAGTAAGCCATATGGATGAGCTAAATGTATCATGGTCATTACAACCATAATTACAATAGTATTTTTATTGGATAAGATTCATTTTATTAACTTCTTTTAATTAATATTTTTATTGACAAAATTTAAATAAAATTTTTTTAATGAAATTTATGATTTTTTAAAAATAATTAATAAAAAATTTAAACTAATATATTGATAAAGCTAAATGCAAATACCAATAATATGTAAAAAATTATTTAAAATATTATTTATAATTCAAATTAGAATAATACTTTTTTAATAGTAAAAATTTTGTTAATATTTTTGTTAAAAATATCTATCTAAAAAATATATCAATTTTTTTTTTCAAATTTTATACGTTAGATTTATATAACAAAACTTTTTAATCTATTAATTTTTATTTTTGATTTTTAATTTTAATTTTTGATTTAAATTTTTTAATCATTTTTTGGATATTGATGACCTGTTCATGTAATATAGTGTTGGGACAGTTTTTATTACTAATTGTTAGTAATAGACACTTGGCATTTTAAAGTAAAAGGAGGTTTAATACTAACTTTTGGATTGTAAAATCTTTCAGGTGTCAAGGAGTATGGATATGGATAAAAAAAAATAGTGCTAAAAAATTTTAGGAAACTGGGATCTCCTATTGAAAGAAAGAAGAAAAAGAAAAGGTTGGCCAGCCTCTCGAGCTTTGTCTCTTTTTTATATAGAAAGGAAACAATCATTGATCACCCAAATGGAACAAAAGAATTTGTCCAAAGCCAATAGTGGGATAGAAACATGGAGACCCAATGCTTCTGTTCTTCACTTTCGTAATGACTATGAAAAGCTTTTGTTGAATTGAAAAGGAAAAGGAAATGTACAAGGATTTGCATATGAATGAAACCAATTTACAATTATCCAAGTAGTGATCCAATGGAAAAATAGTAGCACCTAATACTAGGAAGTTAGACAGATCTATCACCTTCATTTGTCAGTAAGGATGGATTTTCACTTCCCAAGCTTTTCTTTTCCTTTTTTTATATGTAAAGGGTAGTCTAAGAAAATTGTGCAGTAAATCTAACTTATAATTTACATATATTAACCAACTAGAAATAAAAATTTTATTCCTTTTCAAGTTTTATTTGAATAGACGATAAAATTAATTTTGATAAAATTAAAAATAATAATAATTATTATAATTACAATTAAAAAATAAATTATTAATAAAAAATAATTTTTTTAAAAATATTTATATTAAATAAATATTACTGAAATTAATATTTATATTTAATTAATAATGTGTTATATTTAATCACATAAAAAATACAGTAAAATCCAAAACTAACTTTAATCTATCCCAAGAAAACTTGCCTTCCAACAAAGACTCAATCACATCAAAGGTCTTTTCCAAAAGGAAAATTGACATGAACATAAGGAGTTAAAATAAGAAAATCAAATAGTAAAGTTGAAAGAGAGAAGAAAAGCACCTCTATTTAAACCACTGCTTGTAAGACTCAATTCTTAGGAGGGAAAGATTTCCACTTGCTTTCTTCTTTTTTCTTTTCTTTTCTTTTCCACTTTTTTAACATGTTTAAAGGGAAAAGAAATGCATAACTGGAAACGCAAGAAGGCATGATGTGAATAATACTAACGGCAGAAAAATAATGCATATAAACAATTGCAGGCAGCTTCAGCAATTACATCTATACGTATAAAACAGTTTTCACAATATTTTTCCTAGAACTACAAAAAGAACGAAGCTGATTTTCATCTGTTGTTCCAAAGCCTGAGAGTTGGACACCGTATTGCTCCAGCCTATGAATATCACGCGGAATGGGAGATTGCCAGATTCCCTCCCACCAAGCTGGAGGAAGAAGAGGTGTGAAAGCACATTGATTCGACTGCCCCCGACAACTCAATGGCCCTGCAAATCGGTTCCATACATGTCCCCAACCCACCTGAAGCTTCAAACCTTCTGCCAACAAATTACCCTGGAAGCTACTTAGGAAAGAAAAACTTGAACCTGTAGAATTTTCCCCTGAAAAGACCAAGCAACTATAAGATACTGCATCACCAATGATAGGAGAGATGTTCAAGCTAAATAAGCCAGGAATGCAGGGATCGGTGTTACCTATACTGTTTGCCGCAGCCAGTGCAGCAATTAACTGAGCATAGGTAGTCGCAACACGTCTGTAAGCCCCAGAAACAACTGCATGCTTTGCACGAGAAGCAAGAAAGAAGTCCACAAAAGCAACCCACCTGGGTGCGGGGCCCCAATCTTTCACTCTAAAATCCAAATTTGGTGATGTTTTAATAGCATAAGACACATTACCACTGAAAAGTTTATAATCAAAATGAAGAACCTGAGAATAAGGTGCAAATACATCAGTATCTCTACTATGCACTGATATATGAAGGTTATTTATCACTTAATATTGATTTTATTCTTTTTTGGAGTGGGGGGATACCAAGTTTATAATCAAAATGAAGAACCATAGAAAAAAGTGCAAATACACCAGTATCTCTACTATACACTGATATATGAAGGTTATTTATCACTTATATTGATTTTATTCTTTTTTGGGGTGGGTGGGGGGATACCAAGTTTATTACCTCAGCAAATTCACTTATATTTGGTGTAATGCTTCTTACAAAAGAAGGGGTATCAGATATTACAACCACCCTGGGTCTTGACACTTGCTGTGAGTTACGTCTTGCCCTTTTGAGGCAGTTCAATGCAGCCTGTGCAGCTCTCACCGACCTGAAACATGGAACAGAAGAACTAGCATCACTAAGCAATTTAGATGCCTGCCAGATAATTATAATCTCCTCAAGACCGTCAAGTGTGTTTTTAAAGCACATAAGATTTAGTTATTATAATTTGTGTAAGGATTCAGTTTTTAGAATTTTGGTGGTTTTAAATATTTTTAATTCAATTACTCTGCAAAAGGTTGCCAGCCAACACATATGATAAATACTGGAATTGTTTTTCTCCAATACCTATTCATAAGCATCCGCATATGCAATGTAATATCAGGGTCCGTACCACCACCAAGAACCCAATTTACTGCTTCCTCAACATCTTTTGAAGGAGAAATGAGAATTCTCATGAGTTCTCCAAATACATTAGGGCGTGAACGAAGAGAATCTGGCTTTCCAAATAACTCAGAAGCAGCATTCCTCATATCAGGATGTATGTTCTTCAAGAAAAACTGAGCTGCTACAGCATCTGTGGTGCCTTGATACCTAAAGTATTATAGCTGGTAATTCATCGATAACTACAAAAATACTAGGACAATTTATATCAACAGAGTTCACTCTCTACCATATGATAGGTTGGCGCCACTTCCTCCAATTGCCACAGAGGGCATTTGTTTTTGCCGGCTTCTCAAAATCATCAGTCCTCATTACCAGATGCCTTCCATACTCTTTTACACAGCCATTTTGTCTCCATAGATGCTTCACTTCTCTCAGTGTAAAGGTGAGATTGGAATACAAAATGTAATCCCCAAAAGGATATTTACCCCTGAACAAAGAAAAATGAAAATATAAATGATCACAAGAAAAGCAGAAGCATAACTGCAATGAGATACAAAATCATTAAGACATTCTCCAAGACACTACCATGCTTTCCTAGTTAGTACTTCCCGGAGCAAATGGATATAAAATGGAGTACATCTTAGACATTTACCCTTCTAATTCTAAACCAATTAAGCAGTATGAATTTTATATCAGGATAACCCTAAAATAATATTTCCTGCTAACCAAGTAAAGTGTTAGACAAATAAGATCCTTTAAACACAAAACAGAAAGGATTGAGAAAGAACCAATATGCCTGGTTTGCCCAATGATCAGTGATCGGTTCAACATTACACTTAATGCTGCAGCAGTTAATAGCTTATACATTTCATTTCCAAACCCGGCTTCGGATGCTTTTCCTATTACAAACCCATGTCTACAGAACTGTTCTGGAGGAAGCTCACGAATTCTTGGAGCACCTGAAATTAAAAAATTTACATGTAATTTTCCTCATAGTTTTGTCAAAACGGACCCAAAATTCCTAAACATCAACTTCTTTCAAAAGGAATTAGTCTTATAAATAGTTATAAAAGAAATTTCCAAATCAAAATTTCATGAAAATGGGAACTAAAATTTTTCACAGTCTAATGTAACATCAAGAAATAAACTTTGTTTTTTGTTAATTTCAACCTTAATTTATTCTAATTTCAAATTCCAAGGCAAATAAAATTCTCCAAAAAGAAATGGAAAGCAACTTTTTTTTTTTTAATTTAACAATGGAAATTCAGCTAAATATAAAACGGAAGCAATAAATAATAAATAAATAATGATTACCATTTAATTATCCAGAAAATGAAAAATAAATAATGATTACCATTTATAGAAAAGTGATGATGAATAATCCTTCGAACTCTAAGACTCTCCTTCAAAATCCTTCCTTTAAAAACCTTCCCCATTTCCTCCACCGTGGCACAGCTCTTCGCCGGAGCTTTCTTCGGCGCCTCAGCAGAAGACAAAATGCCGTCTCTTTTGAGCTCCCGGAGCTCCAGCTGGGCAGGCAAATCCCGCATCGCCCCATTCGCCATCGTCGTAGTCGGCGGTGCGTCGACGGATCTTAGCGTCAGCAGCATCAGCCAGCTTATGAAAGTAAAAGCTGCGCAGAGAATTAGAAACCACCGTACCATAGCTCGCTTCCTCCTTGAACCGCCATACCTCATCATTTTTTTTTCGATTTTTTTTTTTTGGAATTTGATTTGTTTTTCGAGTTTCCAGTATGAAGGGAAGCTTTGTTCGGATTTCCTCTGTTTTTTTTTTATTATTATTTTTCAAAATTAAGATTTGTAGTCTGATTACGAGGTTGCGTCGGTGGCCACTGCCAACTTTCTTTTAAAAAAAAAAAAGTTTTTTTTTTTATTATCAAAGGTGGAGCGGTGGCCGTATGAGCTGCCACGTAAGCTACGTAATCTAGAGATATGAAATTTAATAAAATAAAAAAAAGAAATAAGATATTCATGAGGTAAAGAACAATTATTTTTATACTTAGATATGAAGATATTTTATAGATAAGAGAATGATTATCTTTTATTTTAATAATTAAATGAGTGTTATGTAAATTTATTGATTTAAAATATAATATTATGCTATAATATAAATATAATATAAAAACAATATAATTTAAAATTTTAATAATAATAATAATATATAAATTTAATAAAATTAAAAATATATTTTATATTTTTATCAATATAATAAATTATTTTCGTATAAAATATAATATAAATATATAAATTTTTATATTTCATATAATATAAATACACGAATTTATAGTTTACTGTCATGATATACAGTGGACCAAAAAAATGGTGCCATGATTTTAACAGAAAATGTGTTCTATTTTTTAACAGAAACTTAAAACTGGATAAATTTTTTCTTTACATGTACTGTTTAAAAAGAAAAAATGGCCAGATTTATATCCTTTTTTTTTTTTAACACAGATTTCTCTTCAAATTATTCATTAAGAATATGTCAAATTAAGTAAATAACAGACAAATGACATAACGTATTTTCAATTGTTTTTGAAATAATGATAGATAATCAATCTTCCATGATCACATTTTCGCCAGCTTGAAGGAATTGTTCAGAGCAAATCTGTGTTGCCTTTGGGGAAAACCGATCCTTGTTTAGAATCTCAACTCAAAGCAAAAGCAAGAATAGGAAACAAAAGCCCAAGTTGTGCGGTAGCCAATTAAAATATCTAATCTCCGACAGACCAATGTGGAACTCTTTTGGTACAGCTCAAACCTGACACAAAATTAAGGTTCATCAATCATCATCCATGCCAAAAAGTCTTTGCTTCAGCTTTTGATCGGTGCAACCTGAGAAGATGTAACTACAAAGTTGGTGAAACTGAAACCTTTACTATCATCAACTCATTATGCATCTTAGATATTACAACCGCCTCCCAAGTCCAAACCACGCCAGCTTTGAAGATCAGTATCAGCAGCAGAAGAAACCCACTCCTTCTCTCTCTCTCTGTCTCTCTCTACCATGATCTCTGCAGCTCCTTGTTTGTTAATCAAGTTAAACCAAACCCTTAACGATAGCTAGCTTGTTAACTGACTTCAAACCCTTGTTTCCATGCAAACTAAATGGTAGCTATTAGTACTACTGTATTTTTGGTTACAAAGAAAGAGGATTATGAATGTTGAAACAAACCCGTTTCTTCTTGAATCATGACACTCATCATCATCATCAAATAAAAGTTAAACCCCTGCCACGATTTGTTGATTCCAATGATTTTGTTCAATGTATTATTTTCCATATAATAATAACAATATAGAGTAGTTTGGTTCATAATCTAATCAATAAGGTAGCTGATGTTATAATTACTCAAAATCCATGATCAAATAACCGATGAAGTAGGGGAGAAGAGATCGTTGAAGCACAAAAACTGTGCCAAAACAGGTCAATGGTTATTGGTCAACCCTGCTAAAAACAGATAATAAAACACCAAACCAGAACAACTCTCTCCCAATCAAATTCCACGAGAATTTCATGTCCGTGCATTCCCTCCACCCTCGATCATTTCAATTTCGATTCAAAGAAAAACAAAAACTCAAAAAATATTGCAAAAATATTTCCTGTCCGTGCATTCTCCTCCCTCTTCGCATCTTTCTCTATCTAATTTTCTTCAAACCATTATTGTTTCCTTTCCTTCAATGTTTTCTCTTTTTTTTTCTTTTCTGAAAGCTTAGCCATGGAAAAGAATCACATGCCTGAAAAGTCATCAAGTTTTAATAAAGGAGACGACAACGGCAAGAACTCCGTAGTCGGCGACACATTTCCGGGGACAGAGTCACCAAAGTGTTCTAACGAAGAAAAGTCAGCTGCAGCTGAGATAACAGAGGTAGAGATAGAGAAACCAGAGGAATTGAAGGCTGGACAAACTGAAATTGAAGAGATTGAAAAGCCTGAAGAGAAACAAAAAGAAGGAGGTGAACTAGGAGAACCTACTTCTCCACCTGAAATCGAATATACCCTGGAAACAGCCTCGGAAGATATTGAACGTTTCTTGTCAAATATCTGCACCTCAAAGGAGGAGGAGGTTGGGGCAGGTTTGGAGATTCCAGAGTTTATTGAGAAGTATTTGGATCTTGTCGAAGAGAAAATATCTAAGCTTGAATCGCCTGAAACAAAAGTGAAGGGGTGTCAGCTTCCTGAGGATGATGCGTCGTTTCTTAAAGCTGTGGACCAGATATCAAAGCTGTATACAAATCTATCTACAGTCTTTAAATTGGATTCCAATCACGGTCCTTTGATCGACCGCATTTGTCGGATTCAGCAGCGAGCTATGTCTTATTTGGAGGATGAATTCAGGTCTCTATTGGAAGAGTCAAGAACCGTGGAACCTTATCAGAAACAGGAGGTTGGAGATGAACCCGGTCAAGATCAATCCGCTGAATCAAATGAAGAATCCAACTTTCCAGGGTACTCTCTGGAAGTTTTGGCCAACTTGAATAAAATTGCCATGAAGATGATCTCCGGAGGATATGAATCTGAATGCTGTGAGGCTTACATGATCACCAGGAGGAATATAATTGAGAAGACCTTGAGAAATCTAGGATTCGAGAAGATTAGCATTGATGAGGTTCAAAAGATGCAATGGGAATCATTGGAAAGGGAGATTCCTCCATGGATCAAGGCCTTCAAACATTGTGCCAATGTGTACTTCTCTGGAGAGCGCAAGCTCGCTGATACTATCTTCTCTGGCTATCCTTCCTTATCTGACAGCCTTTTCAGCAACCTTACACGAGGCGTGTTCATTGAACTTCTCAATTTCGCAGAAGCTGTCGCCATTAGCAAGCGTTCCACGGAGAAACTCTTCAAATTTCTTGACATGTATGAGACCTTGCGTGATAATCTTTCCGCTACTGTTAGTGTGTTCTCTGAAGAATGCGTCAAGGAGCTCAAGGCCGAAACATCAACGGCTCGTTGTCGGATTGGTGAGACTGTAATTTGCATATTTTGTGATCTTGAGAATTCAATCATGTCTGATACAGGGAAAACCCCAGTTCCTGCTGGGGCTGTTCATCCTTTGACTCGCTACACGATGAATTATCTCAAATATGCATGTGATGAGTATAAGGGTACCCTAGAGCAAGTTTTTAAGGAGCATGCTAAGATTGAAAGAGCTGATTCAACAAGCAGGCCCCGGGATTACGAAGGTGACTCACAAAACTACAACAATGATGAAGAAAATCACTCCCCATTTTCGGGGCAGTTGATGAGAATCATGGATTTGTTGGATTCGATTCTTGAGGCCAAGTCCAAGCTTTACAAGGACGTTTCCTTGAGCTGCATTTTCATGATGAACAATGGACGTTACATATTGCAGAAGATCAAAGGATCAGCGGAGACCCGTCAAGCGATGGGAGATACCTGGTGCCGCAAGAGATCATCTTATCTTAGGAACTACCATCAGACTTATAAGAGAGAGACTTGGATGAAGCTTTTGGGTTGTTTAAACCTTGAGGGATTGAATGTGAACGGGAAGGTGGCGAAACCAGTACTTAAAGAGAGGTTCAAGAGCTTTAATGCCATGTTTGAAGAAATTCACAAGACTCAAAGCTCGTGGGTGGTGTCCGATAAGCAACTGCAATCAGAGCTAAGGGTTTCCATATCAGCAATTGTGATACCAGCCTATAGATCATTCTTGGGAAGGTTCTCTGGATACTTGGATCCTGGAAGACAAACAGAGAAGTACATAAAGTTCCAGCCTGAAGATATAGAGACTTACATTGATGAACTATTTGATGGAAACCCTACTTCAACGACAAAGAGGAAAACATAATTAAGCAATGGAAAGAAAAAGAAAATCCAGCCCTTTTGTATGAAGAAAAAAAAAAAATTAAGATGGTGAGGACTTGGGTAGCTTTTTCTTTAGAGGCCAAAGCTGCTTTGATCGTTTCAATTAGATGTGTCGTTATAGTTAAGAAACATGCACTTTGATTAGCGGGTACATAAGTATATATTGCTCTGTTCATCCAAAATCTGTGAAGCTGCTCTGCTGTATTTAATTTGAAGGCATGGATCTTTTGAATTTAATTCTTGTACTTTATTTTTGATTTGTTCTTGCATTTTCTTTTTGGATTGAGTTGGGAAATTAATGTTGAACACAAGTGGATTATCAGGCAAATTTCTAACTTACAACTATGGATTTAAGTCTCTATAATTCTCTTTATAACTATTAATAAATGAAAAATCATCTCAAGAAGCATGTATTATTAAAGTATATTAATAAAATTAATATAATTAAAAAAGTATATATAATAATTTTTATTATGTAGACACTACCTCCTCATTCTCGTTATCGTGCTCTTTCACCCTTCTCTCGTTTTGCCTTTTTTACTTTATTCACTTAAAATAATATGATTGATTTTAATAAAATTAATTATTATAACGAAAAAATTAAAATTAATAATGTGATATTTGTTAGATGCAAAAACAACCATAATAATAAAATAATTATTGCGAGAAAAAAATTAGCATTAAAAATATTAAATTAATAATTTTATATAATAAATTTATTAAAAATTTGAATATAATAATTTTTATATTTAATGTTTAAACATATTAAATTAATAAAATTTTTTAATTTTTATAAAAAATATATAAAAATATAACAAATCAAATGCGGATAAAAAAATGAATAAAATTAGAAAATATAGTTGCAATCAGAATCAAATTTTCCCTAAATCTCAAAACTCCATTGCAACAATAAAAATTCCATTCGTCACAACTTTTTTATAGCTTTTTGATAATTAATTGTATTTTACTGAAAGTACAGTAGAATCCAAATCAATTCTTCCAAAATCATAATTAGGATGCTCCTTCCAGCCTCCGAAAAACTTACCTCACTGCCTCTTACAGAGTCCCAACCTATCCAGCCCATCACCCTTTGCACATCAACACATGAAATCTCTACTCCAAAAAAGAAAAAAAAAAACAAAACAAAACAAAAAAACCTCTAAATATGAGGGTAATATGGGGATTCCAAAAAGTCCAGCCCGTTTAACAGCGTCGTACCATGTCCACAATCCAAATTACCCCCCCCCTCGCAGACCCAAAACTGCACTGAACGCTCTCCTCTTCTCGTCTCCTCAAGGCCGAAGCAGATAAACACTTGGCAGTTTCTTACGGCACGGTTTGATGAAAAGCTCCAATTCCTACGGTTAACCACACGAAGCCTTGTGCAAAACAAACAACCCTACTTTCAAACAAAACCCTAATCGTCAATTAAAAGAGGTTTTTCCCTAATTCCCTCTCCATGACGTCGGAAATCGACCTACTTGTTATGCTTACCCGCCGTTGATTCTCGCCGGCGTCAAAAGCATTCGATTTTTACAGGTTCTCTTTTTTTCTTTTCCTCCATTGTCTATTTTTCTAGGGTTTTCTTTATTTAATAATTATTCTTGCGCCACAAAGTTTTGCACTTTCAGTTAAAGCCCGTTAATTTTTTAATTATTTGATAATTAATTCTTGCTTTTAAGTTCGTTTCCATTATTTTTTCCTGAGCTTAATCGAATGCTTAATTAAAGTGGTTTGCTTTGTAGTTTAAACTGTTTGATTTGGAATCCCAATTTTTTTAAAGTTGCAGCCCACTGCAGTAATGGAGAATTTTTTTGTTAATTGTCATTATCTATTAGCAGTAAAATGATAGAGTTTGAATAATTTCCTGTGAAAAGAGGAAAAAAAGGGAGGAAATTTTGAATGATTTGAGGATCCAGGACCTATTTAGTTAAATAAGGTTATTGCAATAGAAGCTGCACTCTTGTAGGAGGATGCTTTCGAAGAAAATAAGTCGAACTTGCAATTTAATGTAGTTGTGCTTATTTTGTTCAATGTTTTGTAATTTTTCCAGCTAAATGCAAACAATTGTTGTCCTTTGTCTTACAGCAGCTCCTTTTGGAAGGTTGCATTTTGAAGGTCTGCCCTGTTTTTGATTGTTGATCAGCCTTCAATAGCAACAATGGGCAGTTCATTTAATCCGCAAATCTTGGTGGAAAAGCTAGCCAAGCTCAATAACTCCCAAGCAAGCATAGAGAGTATCCTGTCAAAAAATAATTGCGGATTATGTGCTTCTTTGCCTATTTGGGACAGTTCTTTTTGGGATGGTTTTGCTTTCATTGTGGGCTTAGGTCTTTTCTCACACTGTCATGTGTAGTAATTGAGCATATACTTATTTTATTACTTCTCAAACATAATTTATTACTGATTTCAGTTTGATATTGTTATCTGGTTGCCATGTAAGCGAGAGCAAATGAACTTTTAAAGCTTATTTTTGCATCCTTAACTTTTTAAGCTTTATCACATTGGTGTATTTTCCATATGAATAAGGCAAAACAAGTTGTTGAAACTTGGGACAGACAATTTCACTGCTCTCCTCGTGAGCAGAGATTGGCCTTTCTGTATCTTGCCAATGACATTTTGCAGAATAGCAGGCGGAAGGGTTCAGAGTTTGTTGGTGAATTTTGGAAGGTTCTTCCTGATGCACTTCGTGATGTGATTGAAAGCGGGGATGAGTTTGGAAGGAATGCTGCATTGCGTCTGGTATAGTCATCTTAACTTTCATACAGGTCTTGTTTTCTTCTGCTCTCGACTGAAATCTCTGTGAAGGGTTGAAATTGTCTTACAGCCCCTCTTCATGACCTAAAGTGACAGAATCAAGGTGCCTAACTTTCTTGTTAAATGGAAGACCTGAGTGGTTGCAGTTAGGTTTCTTAGGAATGTGATATTGTTATCTAGACAGCAAAGTTAATTTGATGATGCTTTGTTGATAGTGATAACATGATGATATTTTGCTTTTGTTGCCAGTTTTATATCATGTGGAACCTCACTTATCTTGAACTGGTTACTCTAATAAATTTGTCTATAACTAGACTTAGGTTAAGTTTAAAAAATCACATGTATTACTGTTCTTTGGGTTCCGATTGGTTTAAAGTACTTGCACTTTTTCTAATGGTTGTGGTTAAATTATCAAGGTCCAGCAGTTGAACTTTTGTTTTAGTACATCTATTTTTCTAGGTCTAGTTTACTCGCTTGGTGCGCAGCTTTTGGTGTACTGCATGTCCAATTTGTAACAATTGAAATGCTGTTAATGGCACAATCATTGCACAATGTATGGTGTTCCATTTTCATTTTATTGCTATATTGTGGTTGGTTTTTGTATTATTTTCTTTCAATACATATGTTTGCTTTAAATTTTTACTGTTATATTTCAGAATGGCTGTTTTCAAAATTAGCATAACATATCTCTTTTCTTTTTACTGCTTGAAATGCAGATCAGTATATGGGAAGAGAGAAAAGTATTTGGTTCCCGGGGACAAATTCTTAAGGAAGAGCTTGTTGGCAGACAATCAGAAAATAATAATAGAAATGGCAGGCATATAGGCGCCAAGCTGGTAAGATAAATTCAATGCTGACTGCAGTTTTCTGTTATTTTGTGGTATTTACATGTTTGTGTCATAGACCAATGTCATTTCTCCCTTATATTCCTAGCAGAAGCAACCTGTTGGAAGTACAGTGGACAAAATAGTTTCAGGCTATCAAGTTGTTTATGGTAGTCAGATGGATGAAGATGTTATATTCAGCAGGTGTAGGAATGCTATTAACTGTATTGAGAAAGTAGATAAGGAAACTAGAACTGATGTCAATTCAGGTATGACCCGCATTTCTCGTCTTGTTAGCATGAGGACGTTATACTTTTAGTTTTTTCATGAAAAGTTAGTACCTTCTACTCTACTACTATCCTAATCCTTGTTTCAACTTTTTCTTTCTTCAAGGAAAAAATTGTTGCTTGAAACATTCTTAACATCATAAGACTAACTATTTCTCATTTGAACGATAGTTACTTACCCTGGAGACTTTGATTACATATTATTACACTCTTTTCTAAAATGTCAAATTTCTTTGAACAGGCCAGTTTCATGGATCTGCACTAGTGGAGGAGGTGCAGGGTCATCATGCTGTGTTGAGAGACTGTATTGAGCAGCTAACAATTGTTGCATCATCAAGAGCTAGTCTAGTCTCACATTTGAGAGAGGCTCTTCAGGAACAGGTTATTTAGACTAATCTATTTACGAAAACATTGTTTGTGGTAGTGTTAAAATAAAGCTGATTCACTTTTGTTGTCAGGAACTCAAGCTGGAGCAAGTTCATACTCAGCTTCAGGTTTGACACTACTTTCCTGATCTTTTAATTACACTTGTCGACATTATGAACTGTTTGCTTCTATATCTCAGCTTAAATACAGTTAACAATATTGTAACTTCTGTGCATGTATGCATTCTGACCATTTTCATAATGTTTTACAGGCAGCACAGTCCCAATCGGAACAGGCTGGTAATATATGTAGACAGTTATTAAATTGTGACAATCCCCAGTTAGTGGCTGAGCCAAGTTCAAAGGAATCTCACACATCTGTTGCACCTCAAAGTTTTTTTCCGGGTGCTGCAGAGCAATCAGCTCCTGTGATGTATGCCCGGCAAGTATCTTTTCCTGATAATTCTGGCCACATTGAGGAAGATCCTCGGAAATCTGCAGCTGCTGCAGTGGCAGCAAAGCTAACTGCATCGACGTCCTCAGCTGAGATGCTTTCTTACGTCCTCTCTTCCCTTGCGTCCGAGGGTGTCATTGGCAATCCTATGAAAGAATCTTCTGGTGATTACCCTTCTGAGAAGAGGCCTAAGCTTGAGAATGACCAGCCTTATATACCATCTCAGAATCCCCAACAAGCTTCAGTTCCACCATTCCCACCTCCCGAATCTCACCAACACATTGTTGTGGCCACAACCCAGCAATTAACTCCAAATGAAGTGCCACCTCCTCCATCCTCATCTCCTCCACCTTTGCCACCGCTGCCACCAATGCCACCTTATGCTGTGCCCCAGTACTTGCCAACTGCTGGATCAATAAATGGTGCACCATATAGCTACGGCATGACTCCATCACAGCACCCTTCCTTGCCTGGTTATTCAGTGGTTGGGCCTGCAATGACCAGCGTCTCCACATTTGCCTCAACATCAACTAATTCGTACCAGAGTTTCCAAGGTTCTGAAGGCTTCTATAATCAGCCATCATCGGTGCCGACAGCACCGATTCCTCGGCAATAGAACTTCAGTTAGGATGCTTAAACTGAAATATTTTTGTCAGATAAGACGTTTTTGTTCAGAAAGTAGTCCTCTCAGCACCAGACATTTCTTTGTTTGGGTGCCACGTAGTGTACATCATGTGCACATTGTAAATGTTTTGTAACTTATATTTTTCCATCGTGTTTGAGTCTTTGGTATTTAAAACTATTTATCACATTCTTGAATTGGATTGGATAACAAGATTTTAGTTAGCTTGATTGGTCGGTTGCATGATTCACCAATATAGTTGATTTTGTCACAACTGTTTCATTGCCAAGATCATTGTGATTCTAACTCTGGTAATCCAGCATGCCGATCTTAATATGCCTTTAAAGCAAAGTATTTAATTATGTGCTTGTCGTGAATGGAAGTTCTGATTCCTTTGTTGGGAATACTTGGATGAGGATCTCATCTCATTTCATTTGGTTAAGCCTTATGAATGACTGCAACGTGACATGTACTGTAAACATATACAGACATTAACATGTCCTATTGGAGAATGGTCTTTTCCTTTTTTCTAAGAAAAAACAAAAGAGAAAGAGGACGGTGGCGAACTGGCGATGAAACAATCAAGCGAGTATGACTTCTAACGTGGATTATTATTTTGAACAACCATCTAACTATGTCTGATGTCTATGCCTCACTCAAGCATTGGCAACACGAAAAAGCCGATCATAACACGTTGACCGTGCGTGGAACCTCTTGCGGTCAAAGAAAAAGAATCTTAGAGAGACTGATCAGTTCCAAGGTTTTGGGATTGTAACGAAAATTTGATGTCTTAACTTACAACTAAAGCCATAAGCAGCTTGGGGACAAATTAAATCAGTTTTTGAGTTACAAACACAACAGACGACTAGCAAAACGTTGTTGGAAACTTAGGAGTTGTTAACCCTTTGTCTCTCTCACCATAGATCTCCCATATATAATGGAACTTCTTCCATTAAGGTTTAAACGGAGATATTTTCAGTTCAATGTTGATCATCATCAGTTAACTATCGAGGAAACACATAACTTAAAGATTAGGAAAACAGTTTCCTTCTGTTTTATAGTTTTACAATTCAATTTATATAATTACTATATTATTTATTTAATTTATTACCTCCCATGTGTAGTTCACTATTACAATAACATGATATAACTTAATAGTAATTTTTAGAATATGGAGCAATGAGAGTTACGCTTTGTGGCAAAACAAAGATGGGACTGTCGAATCCCAATTTTTGTTTTTGTTTTTTTTTTTTAATATAATTTTTCATGTGTATGTGAATTACCTATTCATTCTTTTTTTCGTTTTATGTCATGTACATAACTTAGGGTAACAACTAGCATCTTAATTGATGAGCTGATAAATGTTGACTTTTTTCAAAGAACAAACTCCAGTCCAACAAGGAAACGGACATTCCTTACAAATCGTTAAATATTTAACTTAAAATTAATTTATAATAAAAAATATAATTTAAATATAAAATTATAAAAAATTATATATTTATAAAATATAAAATAATATTAATTTAATAAGCTTCTATTATATATAAATGAAAATAAAAAAAATTTATTACGTGACATTTAAATGAGATAATAAAAAAATTATTGACTCTAATATTATGTTAAATATTTAATTAAAAATTAATTAATTATAAATAAAAAATTTTAATTTTAATATAAAATTATAACATGTTAAATATTTATTAGATAGGAATAACGATGCTTTTAACAAGGACAAAATTGTGGAGACACAAGACAAGACAAAAGCACCAACAGATCCCAACACTGATACGCAATCAGAGAGCTTTGGAAAGTCTGAATTTTCAAACTTCTTGAAAAGCCAAAAAAAAAAAAAAAACTAAAAAGAAAGAGAATGCTTATTTGAATGTGAAAACGACAAATGGAAGGCTGGTCTCTTTGTGGAAATAGTGAGTGAAGATGGTATTGAAATTTTGACACGACAAGATCTAACATTCGAATTCCTATCCTTGTTGGAAACTTAGGAGTTGCTAACCCTTTGTCTCTCTGACCATAGATCTCCCATATGCAATTGAACTGCTTTCATTAACGTTTAAACGGAGATCATTTCAGTTCAATGTTGATCATCATCAGTTAACTATCGACGAAACACAAAACTTAAAGATTAGCAAAATAATTGCCTTCCGTTTTATAGTTTTATAATTAAATTTATATAATTATTATATTATTTATTTAAGTTATTACCTCCCAGTGTAGTTCCACTACAACAAAAACAAGAAGAACAGACATTTTGTGGAAACACAAGACAAGACAAGACAAAAAAACTGACAGATCCCAACACTGATACACCAGCTAGAGAAATAGTGAAAACGACAGAGTGAAAAGCTAGGCTGGTTTCTTTGTGGAAATAGCAAAAGAGAAATAGTGAGTGATGATGGTAACAAAGATTGAGAAAATGAAAATAGGGAAAACAGCTGGTTGAACTTGAGACAGCAAAATGCGGAACAAAAGCTGAGAAAAGCCGTCATGTTGTATTTCTTTAACGACTCAGGAAAAAGGTCGTCGTGGGGGGGGGGGGGGGGGGGGGAGACATGATAAAGTACTATTGGTCTGATTTTAATTGGATGTTATGTTACATATACATATAATACCATATGTTATGTTTAAATAATGGATTAATTTGGTTATGATTATATATCCAGAGAATTTACATCATAAAACACTCACCTTATTAAAAAAAAAAATTGACAAACCAATCATTATAATTTGTGGAAATCAATGTTAATGTCGAAAACTTTGGTTTTTCCCTCCCCAACAACAACAATTTCTGTCATTAATTACTATTTGTGCGGAGCTTAGCTGAAGGGATAAAATCTTGAATTAATCATAAAAGAAAGGAATAGACTGGATAACGATAAAAACTATGAGTATTTTTTAATGTTTGTGTTCCAATATTTAAGTTAAAGATCGATAAAATAGTTAAGTAAAAATGAGAATAGAGAAAGTAAAAAAATGTAAGATGATTTAGATGGGATCTCGTTGATCTTATTTATAGTTAAAAGATGAGAGTTTTTAGATAATTTAATTTGTCTAAAATCAATTTTATAATCAAGGGTAACCTAGAATATTGAATTGATTTAAATGTTATTTGTTCACTTAAAAAAATGATAAATCAATATTAAAAGGAATTCGTTGGATAAATTGATGATGTAATTGAACTGATCTGACATTAAAATCTTAAATTAAGTTGATATGTTATATTGATTTAAAAATTTAAAATATCTTTAATTATTTATTGATTATCTATTGATTGTCTTTAATAAAAAAAATGATTAAAATATCTTTTAAACTTGAAAATATTCCTAACAATTACCAGCAACAATAACTAATTAATTAGCTCATACTTTAATTTGGCGATGAACTTGTGACTTTTTTTTTTTTGCTTGCAATTGTGACTTTGTTGACCTTGCCATTAATGTTTTAGAAAATGCATGTTTTCAAATCTTAAGGTACTATATCAAACCAAATATTTTTCGGAGAAAAAAACAAGAAGGAAAAAAAAACCATTGTTGAAATCTGTCTTTCAGCTTTGTTTCACTACAACGGTAAGAAAAAATAAAGGAAAAGCAAAGGGATGGATTATGGATAAACATTTGAAATTTTGATATGAGAAGGTCTAACATTTGCATTCCTAGCCTAAAATTTGACTAAATAAAGTGAAAGAAGAAGAAAATTAGAGGGTGAAGAAGTGAACAGTGATTTAGGGTTTGTGTTACATAGCTAAATAGTGTGTACGAAGCTAAGGAATATAAATAAAAGAGATTCAAAGAGAAGAAATAGGGTAAAATGAACATGAAGGGTCACGTCAAATAAACGGTACAAATGTTTGAGAAGGCCACATTACTCCTTTATGATAGTAGGACCGACAACAAGGACGGGGCGACCCTGCCGTGTAATAACCAACATTAACTCCCACATCTGATAGGCCTGTGTAAGTGCAATAATTTACTTCTGATCTCTTCTTTCCAATCAAGCATTCATGCCCAAATCCCACTTGTATATCTTAGGAAATATTTTATATATTGACCGATTCAAAATTTTTTTTAAGATGTTCATTTATTACAATGCGTGTTTGTTGAATGGTGAATGATAGTGAGTAAAGTTACTAAAAGATTAAGCAAGATATTTTTAAAATAAATTGTGAGGGTATATGGTAGAAAAATTTTCTTTAAAATTTTTTATTTTTAATTTTTAAAAGTATCCATAGACATATACATAGTAAATTGGGGTCAATTGACTCACTTAATTTTTAAAAAACTAAATTTATATATGCATGAATTATTATTATTATTATTATTATTTGTATTGGTGCTTTAAAAATTTAGTAAAAGCATAAAGTGAAAGGTTAAACAAATAAAACTTTCATCTATTTTTATAATGATGATGATATTAATATTTAGGTTTCAAACAAGATGCTAAAAATTTTTTTATATTTGAATATAAATATAATCATATGTTAATAGTATCTATGATTAAAATATGAAATGTGATATATATCTATGAAAATATAAATATTTTATATAAAAGTAAAATCATATATTTTATTATACAAATATAAATAAATATTTTTAATTTACTCAAAAATATTTTTTACCTATGTATTTAAAGATATCTTTTGCAAAATAAAATATAAATAAGAAAAGCAGTAGTTAAGCGATTTTCAACTCAATTTATAAATTTAAATATAATCATCTCATTAGATGTGATTGCATGAGATAATATCTCATTGTAATATTTTTTATTAAATATATTATTTTTTAATATTTAAAACTATTGAATTTCAAGCAAAATTTTTTTAATAATACAATGAAATCATTTATATATTTATATAATACAATAATTAATATATGAATATAATTCCACTTGATTTATTTCTAGTTACATCTCCGTACATATATATATATATTACTGACATGCAAAAGGTAAAGTTTAACTCGATTTAATCAATTTTGAGTTAGCTAACCTTCGAGGAAAAATAAAAAACAAAAATTCATCTTACTTAATTATCTGCGGAATCTTTTGCAAAATTAATCTCTTTCTCTATTATTGCATACATGCAGATTCTTTTGATGATTTGTTTCTATAATTAATGAGATGTAAAAATAACTATTAGCATAATTTAAGGGTTTCTATTTTCGTGTCTATGCATGATAAAATATACAATATCTTAAAAAAAAAAGAGAGAAATTTGATCATTCTTATTCCTACAAATCCCCTTTTGCTTTTGCCCTTGTTTCTCTCACCATCACACGTTATTGCGCTGACGCTAGTGACGAGATACTTTATTTTGTTTTATGGATTTAATTACTACTTTGAATGTAACAATAAAACATGATTCCCCTCGAAAGCTTGCCCATGGTTTCGATTCTCTTTCTCTCCATGTGTGTGTGTACATATATATATATATATATATATATATATATATATACACACACACACACACACCAACCAAAGCCTCTCATCATTCCTCAACAGAGAGTCTCTCACTCACCACACCTAAGCCAAAATCCCCAAACTTTTTCTCTATTAATTTCTTCCTACAAAAACACTCAGCTTTACTTGAAAATGAATTGCCAGACTGGTTCATGGGGATATTACATGCCAACCAGCAGGACTACTGTTGGGGACCCATTGGAGAGGATAGAGAGGTTGGCTTCGGAGAATGCAGTGGTTATCTTTAGTATTAGCGGTTGCTGCATGTGCCATGCGATTAAGAGGCTGTTCTGTGGCATGGGAGTGAACCCAACTGTATATGAACTTGATGAAGATCCTAGAGGGAAAGATATGGAGAAGGCTTTGATGAGGCTACTCGGAACCTCTTCTCCCGCTGTTCCTGTTGTGTTCATTGGTGGGAAACTTGTGGGTAAAATGGATAGAGTCATGGCTTCTCATATCAATGGCACTCTTGTTCCTCTTCTCAAAGAAGCTGGAGCTCTCTGGCTTTGATTATCTTTTCTTGTTATCTTGTGCTTTGATCATAACAGCTGAAAAGAAAAGCCCCCCTCCCCCCCCCCAAAAAAAAAATGATTGGTATAGATAAGTATGACAGAGGAAGAGGAGTGGTGGTTTTGGAGTCTCCTCCATTTTGGGTACAGCAACGACTGATATGTCTTTGTTTCTAGGCTTCTTTTTTCTTCTTCTTGTTGATGTTTTACAAGTGGATCTTTCTTGTTTTTGCTCTGTGTTTTCACTAATCTTGATCTCAAGTGAAATGTAATGGCTTCCTCCTCTATACAAATCAAAACAAAATAGTGATTTCCACCGAGTTTTCTCACTTGAATCTTTATTTTACATTTGTTTCTATCCATTTTAATGATTTCCACTACTATAGTGTATGGCATGTTAAGAGTTTAAAATTTTAATGGCGGACTATCTTACCTGTGACTCTGATCCTTTTGACATCCATGAAAGATTTTTCCTTTTTTGAACGAGCAATGATAGTTGGGAGCTTAGGCAAGAACCCCGGTTTTTGACAGCCGTAAAAACAGTAAAAAATAAACACCAGTGCAAGACTTTTGCCGAAATTCGCCAGGTTCAAACCCAATTATTTACAGATACACCACCATGAAAAATCGTTTCGTGGAGGCCCCCCCCGCCCCCACTCCTACGTACATGGCTCACGAGTCGCGAGTTTCGATGCACGTACAATATTTTCTACTCGTTTTTTAACACGTGTGATTTGTGCGGAACTATGATGACGTGTCCGACTTTGTGGGCTAGGAAGATGAGAGAAAGAGAGAGAGAGAGAGAGAGAGAGAGAGAGAGAGGGGAAGGCCTAGAGCGTTGGGAGTTTTGACCAAATGTTAAGACTGTGTTTGCGGATGGCTTCTTCTTTTGGGTTTTGTCTTTGGCTTGAGATTCGCTGATTCTGTCTCAATGCTGATAACCTGTATCCATCCTTTCGGCTTAATGATATGGAATTTGTATGAAATTTTATTGGATGAAGTTTGTGAAAATATTTTAAAAATAATTCAATAAAAAATTTAGTAAAAATTTAAATTGATAAATTAATATAATTTAATGTAAAATTTAATAATATATAAAAAATATAAAAAAATATTATTTATAATTTAAGTTTGATTGATATTTATTTAATGATAATAATTTTATTAATATTTTTTTAAAAAATATTTATCTAAAAAAATATTAAAATCTATTAAAATTTTTTTTTAAATTTACACACTTAATTTAGATAATAATTTTTCAATTTATTTATTTTAATTTTAATTTAATTATTTTTAATAAAATTTTTACAAATTTTATCTAATAAGCTTTATCTAATTTTTTTTCCTAATAATAATGCCAATAATTATAATAATAACATGTTACATAGTCTGACAAAATCAAAACTGTGGATTTGCAGAAATTAATGGAATTTGGGACCCTAGATTTTCAGCAGTGGATCATGAATGTAGGATTAGGTAGGGAACAGTCATTATGATATGGCCTTTGACAAGATGATTCTCAACTTTAGATCAAGTTGGTCCCACATTTAGACTTTAAGCTCAACTTTGGATCTTCCAACAGACAAAGCGACTAATCTTATTTTGACTTAAGCTAAAAGGTTATCAGCATCCATCTTTGACATACATAAATTCTTGGAAGTTTGAATCATTATTTTTTAGGGATGTCAATATAATAAATAAATAGATATTTATATTAATGATTCGAGTGATAAAAAATTTAATTTTTTAAATAAAATTTAATTTTAAATATTATAAATAAAAAAATAAATTTAAAAAATTTTAAATTTTTATAAAATTCAATTCAATTCGATTTTGAATTAATAGAATAAAATATCAAAAAATAAAAAAATATTTATTATTATTTAATATATTTATATTAATAATTATAAATAATTAATAATAAATTTGAATAAAAAATTTATTATTGTAATAGATTATGAGTATATGTGAATAATATTTTTTTTGAATATTCAATATTTAAAATCATTTAAATTTTAATAAATAATAAATATTTAAATTCATATCTAAATAAATCACTCATATATATATAAATATATAAAATTTTATATTTATAGAAAATTTTGGATTTAAAAAATTTTATTTATTATTAATTAAGAATAAATTTGAATTTTTAATTAAATTTTTGTTAATTTTATATTTTGATAAAAATTTTAAATAAACAAATATTTTTATGAATTTAAATATTTGAACATATAATATTTATTTAAATAGATTCAAATTTAATAAATATTTAAATAAATTTAAATATTATAAATATTTTAAAAATAACGAATATTCATTTCCATTTCTAATTGCGTCGAGCAAATGCAAGTATTGATGTTGTTGTGGTTATGTTAGTCCCCCACGACCTTTTATTTGACATTCACCCTTTCCCAGCAAACAATTAAACATACAAAAAAAAAAAAAAAAAGGGGAAAAGTGTTATTGGGAAGTCATTGTTCAGCCCAAAACTCAAGAAAATGGGCTTTCTACCCAGTTTTAGCCCATTTTTATCAGCAAGATCAATATTCTATATTATTTATTTGTTTATTTTTATGTTAGTTATATATTTTGATATATACCTTATGAAATTAATAAAATATAAAATTATTTATTCTCAATTTATACCAATAAAAATGTGATGATTATTTTATAATTTATAAAATTATTTATAAATTAACTTATAAATTATTTAAATTCAGCTTTGCTCCCCTACCATCAACTTCAGCTTTGCTCTTTCCTATTAACCAATTAAAAATATGCCACGTGAAGATTGAAACAGATGATCAATCCTTACAATGTTATCAACTGACTATTTTCTGAGAGATTCGACTAAAAATCTCTTTTTTTTTTGTTTCTCTTCTCGGCGAAAAAAAAAAAAGAAAAATGGAACTGAAAAAGGAAAATAAAGCTAACAACAAAATTACTGTGAAAGAAAAAGGAAAGCGTGAAGATCGGGTCTAATCTGGAGTTCTTTTGAAATTTAACCAATGCTTTTAATATGTAAAGTCTGGCTCATATAAAACTCCCAAGAAAAAAAGAGCTTCGACGATTTATTTCATCCATCTTTTAAGGTATTTTATTATTATTTTTATTTTGTTGTGATTTAAAATTTTGTTTTGGACTATTTTCTTAGTTTTGAAACTCTTTTTAATTCTTTTCTTGCTTTTAATAGTTAAAAAGGTTGAAGTGTTGGAGTGGAGTGAGTTGTGATTTTAAAATCTGTTACTTTTCTTTCATTTTCTAGGTAATCCAAACTGAGTGTTCTGTTTATTTAAGTTTCTGTTCAATTTTCTTGCTTTTTCTTTGGTTCTTGGTTTAATGGTGAATTTGAGAGTGATTTTTACTTTTTTTTTAAAGGAAGGGTTTTTATTTGTTTGAAAAGTTGGAAAATTGAAATGCTGGAGGAGGAGCTGGTAGAACTTAAGTTCCGATTGTATGATGGATCGGATATCGGTCCATTTCGATACTCACCTGCTTCAACCGTTGCAATGCTCAAGGAAAGGATTGTTGCTGAATGGCCTAAAGGTTAGTGCTTCCTTTTTCTCTATAAAAATTTAAGTCCTTTGGTTTCCATTTCAATTTGGTTTTTATTGCATTTTGCATTGTAATTGTAGAAGTAACTCTAAATTTATTCAAAGGCCAGTTTCTAATGACTGAATTCTCATGGTGTTTTGCTTTAATGGTAGTCCTATGGATGCATAATTGGTTCCATGTTTCCCTTGGTACTTTTTTTTTTTGTAGTTAGGGCTTAGGGGTTCACTGCATGATGCTTTATCTTTTGAGAAGTTTCTACTTTACATTTGTTCATTTTCGTTGGGAACGGATTTTGTTTCATTCATTTTTGGAGATAATAGCATGAAAGTGCTACTTTCTCTCCATGCCTTAAAGATAATGTAGTGGGGAAAATTTGTGTTTAAAAGTTTTTGTTTTGAAGTTATTTTCAACATGTGGCATTTAAGTTTGATTGTTTGAAGGTGCTTAATTGGCTTTTATCAGATGGTTGTATCAATTGGTCACTGGCAGGCTTTAATTTAAAAATAATTGGTTGTTACAAATCCCCAAGTTTTCTAGCCTTGAAATTAACTGCAATGAATATGGTTTTCTCACAGGAGACTCCTCAAGTTGTTTAATTCCCAGCAACTACACCTTGTGTTTTGAGATCCTATAAGTGGATTCTTGCTCTCTGATGTGATTAATGTTTTTTTGGATGAAGCTGACATTGATTGCTTATGCATGACTGAAGATTTCTATTCATGGGTTTTCTCTACCATCCTATTCCCTGTTGGTTTTGTGTTCCTTGTTTTGGACACATCTCTTCATCCTTTTGTTGCATATTGTGCATGGACTGTTATCAATTTGACGTCTAATATATGTTCATTTCCACATGCGGATGATACCGCTTTGAGATAAAGCAAGTGGTTTGACATATGTATTTTTATCCAAATTTTAGTCTTGGTTTTTTCTGGAGTCTTCTTTCTTGTGTCTTTACTACTTCAAGTTCTTCAATCTAAGGGTAAGGTGACCTTATATATTCATTTTGTAATACTTGCTAAACTAACTTTGTAAAGAATTAAAATATCTATTTTATCCTTCTGGTGGGGAGTATGCCTTGTTCAATCGTCTTGCTTTTCAGCATTCACATTTCTTGGCCTGAAATTACTTAATAGTTACTAGTTTATTTGACAATCTGCTGTCATTGCTGACTATGAGTGTTTTATTTGTTTCGTTTCCCCATCTTGTTGTTCTTCTTTGTTGTGTTAAATGATATTTATACCATCAAGTAGTAGTGGCTTCCTTGGCAATACTGTGTATGAGTTTACTTTTACCCACCCATCTTTAAAGGCTTTTACCTTTCATATTTTTGCCCAAAATCCTTTGGCCTTGATAATCTAGGATGATTATGAGGATAGGATACTTAAAAGAATGTGTGAATTTGCAAGGTTTCTACTAAATGGTTGGACTATTTTTTAGACTTGAGACTGCCGGATGGCTTAATATGTCGCTTAATATGTCCCTTTTATGCCACTTGCCTTAACTTATTTTAGCCTGTGGATAGTCACATCTCTTCTGCTGATCACAAGGGAGGCACTGAGTGAGACATAGAGAACCGTTTTGCATGTGTTGATGAACCAATCACACATAAAGGGCAGCCTGGTGCATAAAGCTCTCGCTATTCGTGGGACCGGAGAAGGGTCGGACCCACTGGGTTTAATGAACCAATCACACATGAGTAATGAAAATTGTGTTTGGGCAAGGAATGCTTCATATTTCCTTTCAATTTTTCTTGTGTTCTCTTTCTTTTACCACTTCATTTGTGAAGTTGTGGTAGATGGTGAGTGTCAAAATGGATAAATTAGAATCAGTATACCTATTTCCGAAATGTTTAACCCTTATCGTATTAGGGTGGTGGAAGCAAAGATCTAGTTAAAAATGTTGTCTTGTTGCTTTATAGTGTTGAATCTATGATGTTTTCATTTGTCTTAGATAAAAAAATTGCACCGAAGGGAGCCAATGACATCAAACTGATAAATGCTGGGAAAATTTTGGAGAACAGCAAGACTGTTGGCCAGTGTAGAGTACCTTTTGGTGATCTTCCAAAAGCAGTCATCACCATGCATGTTGTTGTACAGCCGTTTATAACAAAAGTGAAAACAGGTACTCCAATCTTATCCACATTTTTTTTCTGCTGCAAGTAATTTATTATTGACTACTGAGAGTAAGAGTTTGAATTGGATCGGAAGGTTTTATCTTGTATTAGAGGACAAAATATGCATGATCTATATGCTTTCTTTCCTGCATATTTTAAATGTTAAAATGTGGTTAATTTTTGTATATAGCAGAAAAAAAGGTGGATGAGGCCTCCAGGAAAAACGTCTGTTCGTGTTCCATATTGTGAAAAGGTTTGGTCTCGATTCAGATTCAAGCTGGTGAGATAGCGTCACGGGTTCCTAAGATCTGCTGGGCTATGACCATGGTCGTGGAAGCAGAAATTAATTAGTAAAACAGTGCCATCCCTCATTTTTACATGGTTTGTTTTGAGGTCATTCTTGAGTAACAGTGATGTTGGTGATGATGTATTTACGTCTTTATAAAATGGGTGTTTCTTGTATTAGATAACAGCTTTTTTTTCTTTTCTCTTCATTATTTCTCTAACACAAGCTTATGGATTCATTGACATATACACGATACTCTTCGAACCATGATCTTGAATACCATCTTATTTTTTAAGGCTGATGCCATGTTTAAGCACATCTCTAGGATGAGCATACATGTTTGTGTGTGTTTATGTATGTGAATGTGTTCTCTGCCCATGTATGTCCATATAAAGTCAACCAGCTGGAACAGAGAAATACATTTATACAGTAAGAGGGCGTATAGCCTTTACTAAATTCATTTGAAACAGCAGCAGTACTGGAAGAAAAGATGAGGCCTGACTTTTCATTACCTTAACGAGAGATTAAGAGGCTTACCATATAACAATGTATAAATTCCCTTTCTGTTTTATAATTCAAAGGAAGTTACACCATAAAATTCAAGATGAATTAATCAAATTGGATCCTGGAAGACGAGATCGTTGCTGTTGCAAGTGGGTCTCACCATTCACCAAATCATCCACTTTCAAGAAAAATCTGACGAACTCTGTAAGAAAAAGAACTTTTTATCTTACGATCGATCTTGAGCCAACACTACACGGTCCAGTGATTACGACATATAGGATGGAAATCAGCAACGTTTTCTCGACCCTGTGCCCTATTATTAAACAATGATTTTCTTCTCATCATTCAACAGAAAAAGTTCGTTATACAATGAATAAAATATAAGACTGAGCTAATCCTAATTTTGTAAGGTCTTTTTCCTTCACTTTCACCTTTCCTGGCATTTACCTTGAAATTTTGTATTTATGTTTTTGCATGGTATCAAGTTGAGAAAAGCAATGTCCAAGATTGTAATAACAACAAAAGCCTGGAAAGATGAAAAAGAAACATACATGAAAAACAGCGAAGGAAGAAGATGATTCAACACCGCCATGCAGAAGCAGAAACAATTGCTCTGTCTTGCCACCCTAAAAGCAAGCAACCTTTATCTTCAGTCAATCGATACCCATCACAGGAATATAAACCCAGCAAAATCTTTGATTGAGTTACTGCATTTGCACTTAATGGCACCCCTTTGAACCCTTTTCCTTCCATCAATTTTCTCCATTTCTCAAGCCTCTCGTGCCTTTCTATTCTCTCACTCCCTTCACATGCCACTATGCTTCTTATCTCTGGTGCAAATATGTATTGCTCAACTTTTGCTCTTTGAGCAGAATCTGGAGGAAAAGTGGCGTCCAATGAGTCAAATATTGCTGAATAATAGTGCAATGCCTCAAGGAAACGGCCTAAGAAGTAAGGGCCATTATGGCTTGCTTCTTGTTCAACAATGGTTACAATGTTAGGCGCTTGATCACGGATCATTGCCAGTAGGTTTCCCAGGCAATTACCAGGGACTCGGTGGAGCCTGTTAACAGCGTTAACGGCTAGAGCCTCACCAACTCGCCTGTTGAACATATGGGGTTTTATATCTTCAAGTTGCTCGCCAATTGGGTGGAACTCAAATGGGATGTGGAGAGAGTAAGCTAGTTCTGTTAAGGATCTGCCTGTCTCTTTGATGGTTTCCAAGCTGGGTCCAACTCCTGTTATCCTGAGAAAAGGAGCTCCACTAGGTCGGGCAGCGAGAGCTTGCATGAAAGCTGGCCATTGATAGCCTTGGAGGATATCTAGGTCAATGACATGAACACGTTCTTCAGCTTCGAAGGCCTCAAAAATGGCTTGATTAGAAGTGAAATGTGCAAATTTTATGTATGGACAGGCTTGGTAAACAATTTGGTAAATCTTGAGGACTTCAAAGGAGTTTGATGGGAAAGGAGAGTATGGTTTTGGAGCACTGGAAGTGCTGGGATCGGTGGTTATGTTTGCCGCTAGCCTTGCACTGAGGGCTTCAGTGAAGCAAGAGGCAACTCTTTGCATGGAGTCCCCAAGAGGAGTTACCACTCGATTCAGGTGGTGTATATATTTCCTTGCTAACAGGTAATCCTCTTTGGCCACTGCTTCAGCACATGCTAGGAGGAGGTGAACCAATTGAAGGCCACTATCTTGCTCCTGTAAAGGCAAATTAAAATAGAGTAAAAACTTGTGACTAAACTAAAGAGAATTTGTTTGTACGTGAAAATATTCATGCATCATCATCTCTTTATAGTTCCTTTTTTGTTTTCTGTATCTTTGTCGTTGTAAATGTGCAGAAAGAATACTGCTGAATAATCAATGAATGGACAAAAGAAAAAAAGAGCAAGAGATCGGAGTACCTGCTCAGGGCCAACAGGAATAGGAACCATCAAGGTATGGCCAAGGTTCTGGTGCTGCTGTTGCTGTTGTTGTGGTGCTGCTGCTAATTGTCGCTTCTCCTGTTGATGCTCTTGTTGTAGTTGTTGGGATAATGGTGCTCTTGAGACAGAGTTTACCTGATAGTGTTGCTCCTGGGTCAGTTGAGAACATCCGGCTGACGATGATGTTTCACTTGCAGACCCACAAAACCTTGAAGAATTCGGCATTGACATGCAGTCTAACATTCCTGGAGCAGTAGTTGACATTTCAAACATGTTATTTGAGGTTCCAATAGCTGAAATCTTTGTTGTTGGGTACTCTCCATAACCATCCTTTTGATAATCATCCAAGATTTGTTCTATAGCCGGCAGTGAAAGGCTCTCAACCTGCATAAACTGATTGTTAGGTGAGTTAAAGACTCTATGCAGTGGGCTCTGCCCTTTACCCTTGTAGGTGCTGCTAAATGACCCGAGCTGAGATGAAAATCGAGGTGGAGAGCACCCTGAAAGACTCTGCCCTTGCATTGCCTGAACATTATTGAAATTATAGCTTGATATTAGTGGAGACGGTAAGTTCCTCACTGGAGATGAGATCATGAAGTCAGAATCAAAATGATCAGAGAAAAAAGTTTCCCACAGAGAACTATCTGGGGACTGGACCTCAACATCTCCATCTAACTCAAATTTGACGGCTGGGAAGTTAAGGCTTGGTGGGGTTAAGCTATTTTGCTCCAAATCAGAAGGAGTAGTTTTCTTAGACTCAGCAATTGACTCACAGGAGTTTTCACTCTTGATGGAGCCCATGCTGCCACAAAGAGAATTAATCATGTTCATTTACTTTGATCAGCAATAATTTTCAAACACTCACAAACCCCTAAAAACAAATGAGTGTTTGTATGTTTCTTCTTAGAATCAAGGTCTTTCAAATGAAGTAGTTAGTGTTCAAATATTGCTCTCTCATGAGTTGTTGAACTAGTGTTAGTGTGTTAATGTTATGAGAAAGAGCTAGAGAAAGCTTTTCTCTCTTCTTATTCCACCAAGAATTTGTCTCATTGTCCAGATTGTCTTGGAAAGAGAAATGGATTAGAGACAAATTGCTAAGCTGAATTAATGTGATTGGAGGTTTTTGATTAATAATCTCCTATACCAAGTTTAGCTGGATTTTCTAGGGGCCTCTTCACTTGTTTTTACTCAACCTTGCTTGCCTACGGCTCCTGCTACTACAAGACAACTCTCAGTTGGCATTGCTTGGGACCCACTCTTCCCTTGGGCCGGCCTATCTCAGAGAAGGTTTTTAAAGAATAATTGTGCCCTGTCTTGGTGTATAAAATTAGTAGATTATCACTAGACTAGATGTGAATCTGGGATTGGTGACTGGCATAGAGAGAAAGATGAGAGGGAGAGAAAATAAATAAAGAAAAAAATGTTTTGGAAAAGAGTAAAAGGACAGAGAAGTGGACCCTGGAAGCATGACAATCTTGTGAAAAGGGGCTTCAAACAATGCATAATCTTGTGAAAAGGACTTCAAATTTGCATAATGACAAAGGGATGCATAGAATTTTAACTTCTACACTCTGCATTGTGATGAGCAAAAATTGTTACTTTAACACTATCGAGGATGTTCCATTGCCTGATGCCCTTAGCTGCTTTCATCCATTGTAATATTATTGATCTTTTATGTCAAACAATGAAAAGTTACATCTCATCACCAACCACGATAACGGTAACATTAATTACTTGGTTTTAGTATTCGGTGTTGACAACTGAGTTCTGGAATCACATATTGTTACAATATCTTTCACCTTTTACAGGTTTCTTGTGTCCAAGATTCAATATGTAATTAAGTAAAAGATTAAGTATCTCCAAGTGGTTAACTAGGGTTGTAACTTGTAATTAAGGAAAATTGAAGAGTGTAGGAAATGAAAAAGTTTTAGAATCAAATTATGGTCAGAATTTCAATATAAAAAAGTATTTAACAATGACATTGTTGGTAAAAATTAAGCAAAAATTTAGTTAGCATGAGGTTGAACTTTGAAGGAAAAAGAAAGGGAGGAGGGTGGGGATGCGAAGACGAAGGAAAAGGACAAGAAAGGAGACATAGGCAAGGTCGTCAGATTTATTTAGCGTCGGTGGCGCCGCCTACTCCTTGGATTTGCCAAAGGATTGAAGCGCTTGTCCCAAACCATTTTCCTTCTTAGGCGGCATCTCTCTCTCTCTCGCACATTCATTTCATTTTAATATAAACAAATATATATCATAGCATGATAGTATAAAGTAATAATGACTCTAATTTCATTATAGTTTTATTTTGAATTAATTAGATATTATTTGATAGATAAAATGATTTATAAAAAATAATTTTAAGAAAAAAAATTTTTAATAAGTAAGTTTAACATGTAAAAAAAAGAATTTTAAGAGTAAAAAAACTTTTAATAGATAAATTTGTATGTTTATAAATAAGTAAAGTTTTTATAGGATTAGATATGAGAAAAATATATAAGAGAGTCATAAGATTTTATAAGATAAATACCTTATAAAATTTTTAGAGATTTATATCTTATGGGTGTGTAAGTTTAATAATTTATGAGTAGATTAGAGGAAATTGAAAATGTTTTCATAAGTATGATGCATATGTGTATATAGATATGCGTTTGTTTGTGTTGAATGAGTATACATGTAGATATATATATTTGAATTGAAAATACTTCATAAAATTAAAAGAGATTGAGAAAGTTTGTGTATTAATTATGAATATATGATTTGAATGTATATTTATAATATTTTATAATTAATAATTTTTTTTTTTATCCGTGAATGTTGATCAATTAAATTAAATCACATTAAATTATTATTTTTTATGTGATTAATTAAATATTTAATTTCTTAATATAATTGGATAAAAACTTTTTATTAGATAGTATCTCATTGCATGTACTTTTCAAGGGGTTCTAAAGGCACGTCTTTACGTACAATTGACTTGGAAACATTTCGATCTGGGAAGCTTAATGAATTGTGTATGTCTATCCAATCACCAATCATCTAAAATTTTCATCTCTTTTTTGCTTTTGTCACCTCTTCCCTCGATCATCTAGCAGGGAAATTCCTTGCATTTCTCTTTCTTTTCTCTACCTTAACAATGTTCAATCTTTAAAACCATCGTTTAATCATCGTCTAAATCGTATGTAACATTTTTCTTCGCCACAAAAATCATGGTCTACTTACTAATCTAAGAGAATATCTTTTTATTACAAGAATTTACATTAGTTTACTTTAAAAAAAGTTAGTATGGAACGAAAAGATACTGTTTATCATCTAGCATATGCCTAAAGAAGCATCAAATTAACTTAGCTTCCCTCGATCAGCCAACCGCTAAAGATTTAATTCATTTTGTTGTGCATATATAGATGATATATATCACATCATAATCTTGTTTCATTAATGGAATGAAATATATATAGCTATGAGAAAAAGGAAGACATGATGGTTAACCTCACAGAGATGACAAATGAAACTTGTTTTATCGCTTGTTTTGACCTGCTAAAACGAAGCCATTGGCTCTGGTAACATAAAGCGCATAGCCCCTAGAAAACAAAGTTCCATATGAAACAGTAGAAGCTAAAGCCAAAAGGCAGTTGTCTCCATGGACCGTAAGCTGAAACAGATGACCCGGTCAAACCACTGCTTTGTAACTTTTGTTGGGCGTAAACACGACCTCCATTGCACTTTCCAAATTCAACAGACCGTGGGTAGAAGACCCCTCCAAGTTCCACGCATGCCTTGGTAGACCCCTTTTTTCTTAGTCAATCGAGTCTCTGATTCTGTTTAACTTTTATCATTTCCTCCTTCGCTGTTCATGAGTGAATAGATTCCTGCAATAAATGCAAATCGGACAGAGAATGAGATTAAGTTCGGACTTAGGAGATTGTTGAGGTTGAGTGAGACACCCAAGTGAAAGGCCCAAATGAAATGGCAATCACAACATCGTAAAGTTGGGGTCAAAGTGTATTTGAAATTTAAACTGATTATTGGGTTTGTAGTATTAACTATTCATCAAAGAAAACTAGGCTAGCAAAGTAGCGATGGACAAGGGGCCCGACATTTGCTACTATCTAATCCATGCAGGCAAATTTGATCCTGATAATGTTTTTTTGACAGTTTATTGAGTAATCATTAAACATTGATGCTAATTTACCTATGAAACATAAAACTCATATAAAAAATATTAGAAACTCACTAATTCAATACTCAATGATGTCAAATAAGAAAGTGGATTTGATTATTATTTACCACAGTTAATTGATTTTCATGTTGTAATTTAGAAAATGAAAATGACATGAGACAGTAAGGGCGAAAACTGTTGGTGAAATTCATGCCGTTCTAAAATCTAGAACTCCCTTTAATGGACAAGCTGTTGTTTCACATGTTACTACAAGGCATGTATAATATAATCCTCATAAGTAATAGTAAATTAGTTTGAACACTAGCCGCCAAAGGCACCAAGTCACCAACCCCTGGGATTTACATTAAAATTTAGTTGCAATAACTATCGAGCTGAAAGCAAGACATTTCTATGTATGTCCGTGATCCCAATTCTGTCTTGGTCTCCAAAACAATAAATAAAAACATTTCCTATCATCATCCCATCTACCTAAAGCATTCTAGCAACTATAAATAAGCAGTCCACTCTTTAGCATGAGCCAATTGTCGCCAGGCACTAGTTTCTTTTACTTTGTTCACGGGTATCCAATGCCTTCCATCAGGCAAATGGCAAAGCCTGGAAGAAGCCCAAGTTGGCCCAATAATTGCACCTAAATTACCCTGCACATGCTTTTGATTTCATAATTCTACTAGACAGAGACCGAGCTGAATTACCTTCCCCGAAACGGGGATTACTTTTACTTCATTAAAACAGGTAACAAGTATGCAGAAGAATTCCAGCTTCAACCAGGAAAGGAGAACTCGGAAAAGGAATGGTGGAAGGTTATCTGACAGCAACTCAAAACTTTTCTTTGGTGTATTCAGCTTTCAAATTCAACAGGTTCATGATTTTACAAGTACTGTAATATGTTGTTTCCAAATTACAGTTGATGGAACTTTATCCAGTTATCCTCACAATTTTTCAGAAGAGCACGTGAACAACTTTAATGCTTCCCCTTTAGCCAGCATGTAAAAGCTTTTTCTTGAATGCCTGATTCAACCTAAACAATCAAGAATGCATGCATGAGTGGTAAGCATTAAATTCACAGTGAATGGCTTAATTATTGGCTTAACAACAATGCATACTTCTCCCACGTCTCTTTGTTAAGCATCAAAGGGATCAGTCTGCTTATGCTAAATTATGACTCAGGCTACCCTGCAAGACTTACAAAGTGCATTGTATTATTGCATAGATGATTGTTTAGAAAATTGGATCTCAAAACAATCAAATTTTCCCTAAATCAGAGGAATGTTCCAATCCGCCAACTAGTGTTTACATGCTAATTTGAACTTATCATAAACTTAGGCCTTCAAATCAAGCCCCACAGTGAATGTGACAAATGAAGCCACTAACCCTTATAAAGAAGCTGCTCCCTTCTCTCTCCTACCCACCAAGTCCACATATTGCCAAAAGACATTCACATGTCTTTGTTTTCTTGTGAAACAAGGATAAATTTCCTCCACTTTTGCTTACACTTGGACCTCCACCAACTACTACTACCCTCTATCCGCACTGCTAAACTCATCTCCAACTACATGATAATGCTTTTGTAAGCTATTCACTTAAACCAACCATTCATAGAGAAAGTTATGTGGAAGTTTCTTTCTCATCTCCCAAATTTTGCTGCCATGAATCCAATAGTTCTTTTTCTTCTTTCTTCTCTGTTTATTAAGACATTATCTTTGAAACCTGAGCCAGCAAAAAACAATGCCCAGATCACCGTAATGGGCCTTGTTTATTGTGACATTTGCTCCAACAACAGCTTCTCCAGACACAGCTACTTCTTACCAGGTGAAGTATTTCAACAACCTATGATTATTCCAAGTTTCATTGGTTTGCTCTTTGGTTGTTCAGTAAGTAACAAATTAAAATGAAAGCATGGTTCTCATCATTCAAATATTGCCTAACCAGGTGCAGAAGTTCAAATAGACTGCAACTTCAGGGCATTTGTTCCAAAAACAAGAGAACAGATATCATTTTCAGTCAACAGAACTACAGATAAACATGGAGTTTACATGTTGGAAATACCATCAGTTGATGGGATCGAATGTGCAGAGGCAGCCATCGCATCATCTTGCCAGGCAAGCTTGGTTGGGAGCTCATCTACTTCCTGCAACATTCCTGGTTACAGAAGCACAACAGATCAGATAGCAATCAAATCCAGACACCCCAATCTCTGCATCTACGGCCTAACTGCATTGAATTTCAGACCAGCAAAAAGAGATGCTACCTTGTGTGGAAATTAAAGCAAGACTTTTCTAGTTATTCCTACCTTACAGCATCCATATGGTTTTCTTTTGGCAACTTTTCCAAGTATCTCCTTTTCTTAACACACAAATTCTAGTTATTGAAGATAGATCCAATCTCCTCATCCTCAACTATCAAGTAAGGGTTCTTTTCATTTCTCAGTCTGCACATAATACAAGAAATGGAGAACCTGCAATACCCTTTTGCCTTTGCCTCCCAGCCTTACTTGGTACTCCTTGAAGAAGAACAAAGGGCCACATATTACAAGGTATTTTCATATTTGCATTGCATTTATGCTTTGTGTAAGCACATTCAACTGTGCCCAGAGACTTTTGTGCAATATGGAGTCCAGGTCAAGCATGTGGACATACATGAATATTTACCATATTTTATTTAGATTGGTCTTTTAGTTACAATGTATGAAATGTGTGAAGTAACTAAAGATATTAGGAATAACCTTTTGAAATCTGAAAAATTAACAAATTTGCCAATACTGCATTTTCCATGATGCCCATCACAATAGGAAAATGCTCAGCATGAGAAAGTGAGAAAGATCGATGAGATAATAAGAGAAGAAAGGGCTTTTATTGCAAAAAGTTTGATTCATCTTGACAGCGGCATAAGCTGCAGTTTACTTCTATTACTTGTGCCAAAAGGCATGATCAAGCTTAAATCATGAAGATGCTCTTATAGTCACAAAGTTCTGCTTTTTGGCCATACCCTCGGTTGTCATGTCAATGTTCCTTATAAAATCATTTAAGGTCCTTTCAAGTAGAAGATAACCATCCTTTAATGTATCAAACGGACAAATTGTGGCCGGTCACAGTCCAGCTCCTAGTTCCCCTGAAACTCTTTCCTTCCTGGTATCATCTGCTTATTGTTGTTTGTTTCCTACAAGCATTTAAGCTATGTCTGGAAAAGGAAAAAAAGAAAAAGAAAAAGGCACTAAAATCTTTCATAAAACAATAATTTTAAATCCTCATTTCCTGAGGGTAAGTGGCCAGTTTAAAGCAACAGCATCTCCATATTGTGGATCAACAATTCTTTGCCGAAGCAGAAGAACTCAGATGAGCACTGCACATGATCATCCACGTAATTGTGTTTGCATGCCTTCAAAGTGGCTCTTATTACGTTATTATCAATTGTTCTTGGCAAATTTTCATACCAGAAGATAGGCAAACTCATATTGCTTCTCTATGAATGTAAGGGCTGTTAAAATATCTTTGGGTTTCATCTCCCCGACCAAACCTGTACCAGTGTAAAAAGATAGCCTTAGACTTAGCAGTTACCAGTGTTTAACATCTATATACTTCCCCTAGTATAGACTGTTTGTTATAGCAGACTGACATGATAGAAATAGTCTAACTAATATTTCATAATGGACTCTCCTGAACCCCACATTTGCTTTGGTTTTGGTGGTGTTTCTGAGCTTATGAAAAACAAAAAAAGAAATCAGAAATAATTCATTTGGGAGGCATATGAACCATCTTTCTCCTTTTTTAGCTGAACTAACTTCGGTTTCTGTCTTATAATTTGTTTCTCTCCATTTGCCTTGTTTTTGTATAATAGAGGGTGGACCTTTTCCATCCTCAACCATTTAATCTACATTGTGCTTCTTCAGCAGGCTATTCAGGATATATAAATATGCAGGTAAAGACTTGTACTTTTGAATAAAGAATGAAATATGATGAGTACAAAACATTAAATTTTAAATCAAAGACGCATAATTTCTGGGCAATACAAGCTCAAATTGATGTGCCTCCAGCTCTCAATATATAAATTCCACATTAAAGTAAGAACGAAAAACCACGCCACAAAGCACAGAATTTTGACCTTTGATGTCCCTTTTACCCTGTGCCAACTTTACTTGGTACTTGATCATGCATAATTTTTCTTTTGCTGATCAGCTGCAAGTCTATAGACGAAACGTAGTAATATACCACAAAGAGAAATGAATTAGAACAGTGAACTAGAAGATGGAGTATAAGTGTATAACAACATTCTGCAAATATTTCTTGTTGTCTAAATCTGCATCTGTTCTTGGAAGACCTTCATAGCAGAAGTTGGCAACCCTAAAAGAACATTTATGCTTTTCCTCTCTTTGCCATGGGATAGGAACAAGATCACTTCCTTCTCTGGCAATGCAACTGGCCCTGATAGAACAGGCTCTCCCCATCCGAAATCTGTAGTGTGGAAAGATAGCCTAGACCATGTAGTGATCAGCAGAGTGGATGATAAAGATGGCCTAGCTCTGGTCACCTCAAAGTAATCTATGGCTGATCTCATGTAACCATCTGTAACCATGTTAATTGATTCCTGAATAAGGCCCACGGCATGTGAAAATGGCTTGTCCAATAGCTCACCTGCTTGGCATATGGAATTTGTTAATACAATGCCATTTCCTAAGTAGCCTTTTGGTAGAGGTGGATTGAATTTAGGCCTGCCATCAACGGCAAAGAGAAGCTTTGTTTGTTGGTCGGACAGCATGTTAAGTGCCTTGGTCCGAGCCCTCCACACGAATGCTGAAAGAGCTTCAAAAGTAGTACATTTTTCAAGAACCCCATCTTCCATAGCGTTTTTCTTTAGTTTTTCAAGCTTCTCAGGCCCAAAACAGAAAGATCTGTAGAGCAGTTCATCTTTGTAGAGATCACCGGTGCTGGACTTATCCTCTATCTCAGCAAATTCCTGATGCAGATACTGTATCTTAGGTGGGCTTCGGGCTTTCAGAATGGCTCTGTCCGGGAATGGAGGGATGGTTAGTGGCAAACCTCGGGCTGTTTCACCCCAAGAGTTGACAAATTCCATAGCACCAATGCCGTCAAACATGCAATGGTTCATGCACAGGCCAAGGACAAATCCTCCGCATTGGAATTTAGTCACCTGGAAAATAAAATTTATCACCCAGATATCAGATAAATTAGACCTGTCCAACATTCTGCATGATATTCATGGACATTACCTCTCTAGAGATTATCATTGTTCAAGAGATTCAGGATGATGATTGCTTGAGGCTTATAATGCAAGGAAGTAAATTTTCACATATTGAAAATTAATCATGATGATGACTCCAAAGGCAACGTATTAGACTTCTAATATATCTAGGGGAGTAAATAAGTAATATTCATACTTGAGGAATCTTACTACCCCCAAACCAAAAGCCACCAAAGTGTTTCTGCAGAAGTTTGAAATACCTGAGCCACTAGAGGTGGCATCTCTAGTATGTTTTTTGCACCAGGAATGTTATAAACCAACTTCCCAAGAGTCTCAGGATCAGGCTTTGTTATGTCTCCAATCTCCTCCATCTTACAGTTTGATTCAGCTTCAACAAACACAGCTCCTTGCCCGGTGCAGTCCACAATTAGTTTACCCTCTGAGCTGATTGTTAGCCGCCCAGCAAGGGGATAGTAATGAACAAGAACCTTTCGTAATGCATCCTTGATCACTTCACCAGCATTTTTATTCCCTTTCTCATCTGACTTAAAGCAATATATGGTGCGAACAATGACTGCAATGTTTTGGTCGAGATTAGAGAGAAAGTATAGACCCTTTTCTGTCTCTTCAGCTGGACAAACCAGGGTTGGCTCTCCTAGCTTCACACTAAGCTGAGACACTTTGCCATTGAACTTCTCCATTATAGCAGAACCTTCAATAATTTCTGCAACCTGAATCATAAATCAGAAATGAGATGATACTTATAACCTGAGAAACAAAACTAAAAAAAAAACATTGGTCCATATCAAATGCGTTTAAATGCACAATTTATTGATTCTGAGAAAACAAACCATGAGAAAAAGCTGAAAGAGATAAACTGAAGAAAATGGTCAGGTCTCAGTGCAGGGAATTGCAGTAACCAAAACTTGAAAACTATGAAAACAAGGATTGCTCTAGCTCGATCTCAGTCACAAATTTGTGATGGTAATTGAACTTGGTAAATATATAAGGGAAGTTTAAGACCCGGCAGTCACGCTTTTGGTTTTAGATATACAAGGAAATGAAAATGACATGACAGGGCATGTGGCTATGTTTCATTGGAGTTTGCACATGCTAAAAATAATGAATAGTATGGAGAGATGAGGTTACGTCAAAATTTTGTTTCTTGGACTGAAGATTTGGTATTGGTCCTTATGGGTTGGGGTAGGCCACTGGTCAAGGGACCTAACACACTAGACAAAGGAGTCTGGCGTGCGCAAGGAGGGCCTGACTGGGCTTTGGTTGGTGGGGGTTGGCATCCCAATTTTGCTTGCCACTCTGCTTATGTAATCTCTTATTCTTTTGTATCATTTTCCCACTCTGACATTTTTTCTAATGAAACTTGTTATCTGATTTTAATTAAAAGTATTAGGTTACCAGCCAATTCAGTCATGATGAATTGCTCAAGATATTTCTTGCTTGCTTATCAGTCAAATTGTTGCTGAAACACAACCTTTAACTCTTTGAAATAAGAATCATATCACTTCAACAAAGTAGTCATTAAAAACATCATGGCCTTGCATCCTGGTGAGATTCTTTCCAGTTTTCAGGGCTGCATACATTCTTAAATCAAATAAAGTTATATATATAAAAAAAAAAAAAAAAGAGCAACGTGATTCATTCTGCAAAAAGCAATATAATAATAATCTCTCATCTTTGGCGTTAAAAATGTTTTAAAAACCATAGGTTGCTTAAAATATGCATTATCTTGATGGATTAATTATAGCTTAACTACTTGAATAGAATTTTCCAACTTGGGTAGAGTCTTATCAGTGAAGTTGTATCCAGTTATCAAAGCATCGACAAAGTTAATTAAAACGAAAAATGAGATCATTGAAAAGGTTAATTATCACCCTAAAATCACATGAAGAAAAAAGTATTACTCGTAGGTATCTTTCAACATACAATATGCCATATTCTAAATATTGACGAGTTCGTTCATTTCAAATAAGTAGTTACAATACAGCTCAGAGCTTCATACCTCAAGTAAATCAAACAAACATTTGCATAACAACTTCTATGAGAATACATACCAAAGCCAAAATTCTGTGCTTTACATTTTGCTTGGTAAAAGTATAGCACAAGGAAGCTTTTCTGCTACGAATAACATAAGAGAGAATCACTCAAGGGGCTGCCTCTGTCTATAACCAAGTCCTTCGTAGCTCGGACACACTTTCGTGCGTTTTCTTGGCAAATTATCTTGCTTGTGGACAATGCAATCACAGTGTGAAACACTAAACAATCAACAAGAATTGACAAGTATCAGTCAAAAGTCAAGCCTGGCCACACTTGCTTAGACAGGCAATTCCTTCTTCCAAATAATCTTCCCTGCTGATCCAAAATTCAGGTGCATCCTGCACAGGTTACCTCAAGATTCAAATACTTTTCAATGATTTTCAAACTGTCATCAGATAGATGGATGCTATTTCATGCTCAAAAACAATCCTTGAAGCATTCTTTTTTTTTCTTTGGCTGTACAACATGAGCATGAATGAGAATGAGTTTGTATGTGCATGTATATGCATGAGCAAGAAATACACCTTCATAATCCCAGCAAGAACTGCACCTCCAAGATACACCATATGCTTTCTTCGTGGTGGGTCCTCGATCCGCAATCGCAGTTTCTATTCAGAAGAATGAAAACAATTTAAAGATGAGCATCACAGTTTGTTTGTTTGTTTGATTTTTTTTTTTTTTTCAGTCATTTACTGTTTGCTGTATCTAGCTTAAAAGATTATTTGAATTGCTCAATCATCGGCATGGAATAAAACTCAAAAAGAGACACGAAACCAGAAGATGTAGTAGTTTCTGTTATATATTTTAAAAGAAACAAAGGCTACCTTTAACCCATCTTTATTTCCCTTTAGAACCACTTCAAGATATCGATCTAGTATTTCCTTCTCCAGCCTGAATTAAAAAAAAAATCCCTATCATATGAAAGGAGCAACCATAGCGGAGAACGCAAGCAGGAGAATGGTGGAAGCCAGGATTAAAGAAGATAGTGAAATTCCCCACACACAAATTTCAAAAGTATCTTAGAATGTGTTTCTTTATACAAGTAAAACATATTACCGACTAGGTAATCCAGGGTACATGGTGCTCCCTCCACTTAAAACTATATGCTGATAGAGCTGTAAAATATAAAGCCAATAACAAGTCAGATTTACACAAAATAAATCCCAACAGCAAGAATATATACATATACTATAGCCCAAGGATTTGGTTTTCCTTTTTGGCAGGGGGTGGGTGTCAATAATGCAAGGATTCACTCAATTATATGGATTCATTAACTGTTCATTATTCATGATGACCCATTTTCGAGCTGTAAATCACTGTCCTGACTTCTAAATTTGAAACTTCATGGACGAAACTAAAAAAAGCCAAAGCGAATGAAGAATATACCATTTTGAGTGGGAATGAAGAGGAATAGAAAGTAACTACACTGATGAGTGAAAAGTGGATTACAGATTTTTCTTAAATACAATGCATGGGAATATCGTTTTGGGAGGTTGTATCCTCCATTAGAAGTGCAGTTTATGAAAAGAAGATAATAAAAGAATAGCAAACTTCTTGAAGAAAATGAGAACTAAAATAAGATAAGAAGGCATAGAGACACACGAATAAAAGACTGCCTAATGGTTCCAAGGAATGAGGATGATTAGAGGATTCGAGGAAAGTCCATATATTGTAGCAAATTTAAAACATAAAGCTTCAGCACTTCGTTAGAGTAATTTTAGACAATAAAAAATATAGTCCTAGAAACAATTTTAATACCATCATGCGGTTATCGATATCCATCTCCTGAATGCAGCGGAAAACCATGTCAGCCATGCCATCACCTTCAACATCAATAAGTTCCTACAAAAGGAAAACTTTTCTTACTTTTCACAATATATGGTCTATCAATATATCTTTGTGACTAAATGATTTCAGTTCTACCACAATAATTTGTAAGAACTCAAAACCGAGCCTAAAAGATGCAATGTTACTCAGACAATAACTGCTTTCTCAAAAGCTCTCAATAGCCAAAAGATTTAGCACACCAATTAAAAATTTACACTACAACTGCAAATACCAATTGACTTTGAAACAGGTAGCAATAAATACATTCAGAAAATCCAAGAAAATAGGTAGCACAAAAAATATTAGCATATAGAGTCAATGACAATAAAGATAAGTGCGGTCTTACTGGTGTGAAAAGAGCCTCAGGGGCCTGGAACCTTTCAGTGCCTACTTTAATGACCCTTCCATCTGGCAGCTGTTTTAAATAAAAATGGTCATTATTCTACAGACAATATTTTTAATTGGAGTTTTTCTATTTTAAAGATAAAGTGAAATGTCCGACCAAATCAAGTATTCATGATGTAATCGGGAATGACGCATTCATAAAAAGTACTTACAGTATAATTCTTAACAAGGATGGTGGTCTCAAGTCCCAGTTGATATTCTCTTTTGTAATCATAACTGCTTGAAAATACAAGTAATGTCACATTCAATTTTATAATTACCTTCACAAAACCAGAGAACAACAAAGAATGCTTGTTCACCTTATGTAGCAGAGTTTCTCTTTGATTTCCCTGACAGTCTCAAAATCAGCAGTTCTATTCATTGCATACCTACAGAAAGACACCCAAAAGAAGATCACTTGATGATCAATAGCACTATTAGTCATATGATCTGACAAGTTTTTCTCACAGAGAATTGGTCCTCACCCTCTACGGGAGAGTAAATCAACAAGATAGGATGTTATGTGCCGACCCGCTACATTCATCCGCTTGGTAAGATGAGGAAATGAATAGCCATCAACAACAGGAACCTGGGAAGAAAGGCTGAAGTAATTATTCTCAATACTTCACCTTGCAGTGCTCTCATAATGCACACCTTATACCATATAGTGCAAGCTCTCCTAAAAATAATGGTAAAAGGGTTGTCAAACAGCTTACCACATGAGTGACACCATCACCAGAGTCAATAACTAATCCAGTCAGCAGACCTGTAACAATTTATGTTAATGCTTAAGCATATACACAGACATACGTATAAGGTACAAAATTAACGTTAATAGTTTGAGCAAAGATTCCTGCATGTCAGACTACAAGGCTACAATATTCTTGGTAATAGGCTATAATAGTTTCCATTATCTTCAAAGGGAAGTAGCAGAACTTCATGCAGAGTTGTGAATATCATACAAACACATACATATAAAAAGAATTAAACCTTCAATTATCCCCTAGGCACCTTGAGCATACAGAGTTAAAACAGCCTGGATTTGAATAAAGACACCAGAAAAGTTGTATTTTTCAAACATGGTCTCAACCTGCAATCTCAAATCAAGCCCAAACCATTAGATCCTAACAATAATGTTCTTGAAATTTTCAATCAATCAGTAAACAAATTAATTGGACTACAAACCATTTTTTCGCGGTTTTTTGAGGGATTAAGAGGCGGATCAGTAAGTAATATCTTACATTCTGTTGGATTAATCTGTTTACAAACAACATAGAACATATTTAAGACCAATCAAATAAATAAATAAGGTGAATTAGAACTAACCAACATAAATTAGAAGGAAATATGACCTTTAGTTCATTGAAAAACGCATGATCCCAAACATGACACATATCATCCCAATTCTGCACAATTCCATTGTTAACCGGATATGATATATCCAATTGATGTCTCAAAGCAGCACATGCTTCTCCAACAACATTATCCTGACCAGAGTTCAAAAATTAAAAGCCAAACAAAAAAATCTCAGAAAATTTATTTACAGACCAAAAATATTTAAGCTTTAAATTTTGAAAAAACAAATTAACATGATCTTTAACGTCCAAACCTTTGAAAAGAGGAAACAGAAAAGGAAAAATTATAAAGGATCAGTTTTTGGACCTTCAACTCTTGTTCCACGAGAGATTCCTCGTACCGTAGCATAGGTCTCCCGACCACGCATGGGAACACCGATGTCGGGAAATTTTCTCCGGCGAAACCACATTTGACGTACTGTAATCGAAGAAAAAATAGATCTAGTGAAGTAAGCTAAAAGAAATGAAATACAACAAAAAAAAAAAGAAAAGATTTTTATATAGAAAGCTTTGAATAGCTTTAAAATGTTTTAATGCGGAGACTAATGCAATGTCAACGTGTGAATCAAGACGGAAAATCAACAAAATAAAAAAGAGAGGAAGAAAACGAATTACGCCGGTGCCGTTGTCGCATACGACGACGTTTCGGTAGTCCATAGCCGGTGGAATGTTGGGTTGGGTGCTTGCTTGAAGCAGAGGGTCGTCAAATTGCAGGAAAGAAAGAATCCGGCGTCCGGTTTCCCAGGTTGTCTTTCCAAATAGTTTAAAATGTCAAAACGACTTCGTTTTGCCTGGACCCATTTGATCGCTTAATTTTGGACCATTTAGTTGGTTTGAGCCCAAAAAGTCTTCGAATACGACGTAGTTTAAAGCAGCCCTCTGTAAAACCATATTATTATACTACCAAGCTGGGGTTTTCTCCTTAGTCGAGCAAAAGGAGCCCAAGAAAATACAGCTGCAAAAATGGTAGAACCATTGCTTCCTCTTCTTCGATCTCTCTCTCTCTCTCTCTTCTTCGTTACTGAAATCAATCTAACCTAAAAAATGTGTTGTTTTGAATCTGTAGGCTCCAAAACGTGGTGTCGAAGCTCCCATAGCTGCTGCTAAGAAGAAAACGGTACTTTTGCTTTGTCACATTGCATTATTTCATGGTTTCAAATCTTTTTTTTTTTTTTGGGGCGGGGGGGGGCTTTGTTTTATATCTTTTTTTGGGGTTTGGTGTTGTTTTTAGGACAAGGTGGTGAACCGGTTGTTCGAAAAGAGGCCGAAGCAGTTCGGGATTTGGGGGGATTTGCCACCAAAGAAGGATCTGACACGGTTCGTTAACTTCCCCAAAACCGTTAGGATTTAGAGGCAGAAGAGGATCCTCAAGCAGAGGCTTAAGGTCCCACCTGCTTGGAATCAGTTCACCAAGACACTCGACAAGAATCTCGGTGCAAATCCCATTTGCTCCTTGCTATCAGTTCTATTCAAGTTTTTACATTACATATGTCAAGATGATAGTAATGGTTACATTGGTGAACTAAAAGTTATGTTGGTGCAGCGTCAAACTTGTTCAAGATGCTTCTCAAGTACAGGCCTGAGGACAGAGCTGCGAAGAAGGAGCGTCTCTTGAAGAAGGCTCAATCAGAGGCTGAAGGAAAGCCTGCCGAGTCTAAGAAGCGCATTGTTGTGAAATATGGTCTCAACCATGTCACCTATCTTATTGAGAACGTATTATCACTTTTGATCATTTATTTGCTATGGAAGTGTGTTTCCATTGCTACTTGTATTTATGGCGGGTCATTTCTTATTGTCTCAAAGTAAATTTTCCTTGCAGAACAAGGCACAGCTTGTTATAATTTCTCATGATGTGGATCCCATTGAGTTGGTTGTTTGGTTGCCAGCATTGTGCAGGAAGATGGAGATCCCATACTGCATTGTCAAGGGAAAAGCACACTTGGGAGCGGTATTGCCTGTTATCTTGTATTCTCAGAACTTTTGAAGTTGAGCTATGGATGCAAAACTAAATATTTGTACCTTTATGCTTGATAGATTGTTCATAAGAAGTCTGCATCAGTTTTGTACTTGACTACTGTCAAGAATGAAGATAAGTTGGAATTCAGCAGGATCTTGGAAGCCATCAAGGTGGTGTAAAGTTTCAATCTGCTGTATATTTGTCCTTTTGAATTGTTGGATGGTCTGATTTCATTTGGGGTTCTTTCTTTCTTGTCACAGGCCAACTTTAACGACAAGTATGACGAATACAGAAAGAAATGGGGTGGTGGTATCATGGGCTCCAAATCCCAGGCGAAAACCAAGGCCAAAGAGAAGTTACTTGCCAAGCAAGCTGCCCAGAGGATGACCTAAGAGCTAATTTAGAATTCATTTCCTGTTTCTTAGACATTATTGTCTGAGGTTATCAGCCTCTTTCATTTTTGGCTATTTTAAAGCAGTTCATGATAAAAGCAGAGTGTTCCTTTCCTTTAAAGGCAGGTTATAATTGAATTTTCTTGTAATGCTGTTTGAGGTTGAGTGGTTTTATTCATACTTGAAGCATCCACCTTTATTCATGAACTGTTTAGGGATAGACTTATTGTAACTGACCCATCCTTTTATTATTTTATTACAGCTCAATCATGGTGTTTTAATATAATTTTGTGGGTCCTATCTCATCTGAATCTTTTGATGGCTTGCAGCTGATGGCTTTGCAGTTTCACTGATCTTGTAGGTGGAATTTAATAAGACCATGATATCCAACAGCTTTAGACTTGAAAAAGGTAGAAGTGTGTTATGCTTGAGATTCTTTTGTTAACTCTGTTTCTTACTTTCTTAATGGTTTCACCCATCAGAACCTTAGACCTCGGAATGTTACTTTAATCCTCCTTGTTTCCACCTGCAAATCAAGCCCACCCGAAGCAGCTGATTTAACACGACATGTAGAAAGTCATTTGTGGAATAGATTTTCGGTTTTGTTGTCTGCCATTTGTCTTTTTAACTAAATAGTGATATTTCATATGAAAATTAAATATTATAATTTATATGGATCTAAAAATATAAAATATAATTAATATATAATTATTTTAAAATTTTAAATCATATTATTTTTATATTTTTTATTAATATAATGTTTATATTATATCATGATGTTTTAGATTGTCTAAGTATCCATTAATATTTTATTAATTTCATCACATTATTAATTAAATTTAAATATTAATTTTAATAAAATTAAATTAATATTAATTTTTTTAATTACAATTATAATATTTTTTAATCATAATTATAATAATTTTTATTATTTTTAATTTTATCATAATCAATTTAATCTTATAAAACTTAAGTATCCTTTTAACATTGTTACTGAAGAAGCAAGGCAATCATATTTCAAACTTAACATCTAATTGGGCCCAGTTTTCACAACCTGATGGACCACACTCACCGCACCACTTCACCCATCCTATTGCTGTTTTTTACTTTTTTTTTTCTTTGTCCGAATTCGAAATTATTTTTTATTTATTAAGGTAAAATAAAATATCTAACAACAAAAAATAGTGCTAAAAAAGAAAATAAATTAAGGAGATAAAAAATAAAATAAATTTCTACAGGCATTCAACTACTAGAAAAATTTTCTATTTGAGAAAATTTACTAGTAAATTGAAATTTATAATACACCAGTACTCCTTTTAAAAAAAAAAAATTACAAGTAATATATAAGGAGATAAAAACACACTATCCGATAGATTTTTTCTTTTGAAATCTAAGTTTGTGTTAGTTCTGATCAAAATCAGACCCAAACCTTCAATTTCAGAAACCCTAGCAATTTCTCTCTCTGCTCTCTGCAATCTCTCTCTCTCTCTCTCTCTCTCTCTCTCTTTGTCCCCTTTTTTCAGAATCTTAAACGCGGCCGTGTCTCCGCAGCGATCCCCGCCTTTTAGATTCTCTCAATTTTAATTTTCTCGATGGCCGGCGGAAAATTCAATCTAGCTGATGATCTCCTCCCCTCCAAAACGGACTCTGACCTTTCGTCCCTCAAAGGTATTCTGCATTTTCTTTTCCTTTTTTTCAATTTATTTACTTTTTTTTTCAATTTTCCTTTTTTTCCTCCTTCTAGCTTTTTGCATGCCTATTGTATTGGTGTCCCATTTCAATTCAATCGTCCTTTTACAAAAATCTTTTCTTTATTTGAATTTTAATAGTTCAATTTAATTTATTAATTCTAAATTTCAGATTTCGTTAATGATTTATTTGTTTTTCCCTAAGATCTCGTTTAATTTGTTTAAAGGCTTTTAGTTCATTTTACTCCGTAGTAATTCCAAGATTTTCTCTATAAAAGGAAAAAAAAAAAAAAGAAAGAAATTCACGATTTTTTCTATGTAGAATTGTATTAGCTCAAACGTTCATTTCAAATGCCCCAGTGATTAAAAGAAAGATCGTAACTTTTTATGAAAAAGAAGATTACTTTAGTTGCTTATCATAATTATTGGAAAATTTTAACTGTCAATGAAAGGTTGACTTGTTTCAATTAGGAAACTTGGCAGTTCAAGCTTAAGGCATTTGATATTTTAGGGACTTCATAAAAACAAGCCTGAAACTTGAGGTTAGGGGATTTCTGCCTAATTCACCTATGTATTAATTATCTTATTTTCTTTTATTGTTGGGAGAAGCTTGGGATGGGAACTTGGAGGAGAACGGACTCATTGGTCTGCTTGATGACGCCAAAGGTAATAATATTTGTCTTATGTTGAAATTTTGTATTTTTAAAAACCTGAGCAGCTCTTTTCATAAAAAATTTAACCTTTTTTTTTTTTTTTGGCCAATAGATCAATCAACTTCAGAGAGCAGCATACCTCTGTCCCCACAAGGGCTTTATGCTAAACCTGCTGATGCTAAGATGTTAGCTGCTGGAGCTTCTGGGGTATGGATCTTTAATTTCTTTTATTCAATGTTTTTGGGGGTACTTGCTTTCATTTCCATATCAGCGTTTAATGTGTTGGTTTCTAGTTTTATTTACCCTTATGTGCTGGAAGTATGGGTAAATAGTATATCTGATTACATGTAAATTAGTTAGACTAAATTTGAAGAAATTGGTATAATTTTCATTGTTTAATGCTCATCACAAATTTAGATTTGACTTTTAGCTTGTGACTATTTTTCATTTTGGTTTGCATAGTTTCTGTGGTATAATTTGTTTACTTAACAGGATATAAGAGCACCAAATTCGTTGCCGGCCTCTGCTGATTCCAATTTGAAAGATAGTTGGCGTTTAGATGGGTCTCAGGACAAGAAAGACTGGAGGAGGACTACACCTGATCTTGAAAGCAGTCGACGTTGGCGTGAAGAGGAGAGAGAAACAAGCTTACTTGGTCGAAGAGATCGCAGAAAAGAAGACCGTCGTACTGATATTTCTTCAATGAGGGATGCTCCTGAAAATAGAACCTTGTCATCTTCAGAGCGATGGCATGATGTTAGCAGTCGTAGTTCAGGGCATGAATCTCGAAGAGACAACAAGTGGTCTTCGAGATGGGGTCCTGAAGACAAAGAAAAGGATTCTCGAACCGAGAAGAGGACAGATGCTGAGAAGGAAGATGCCCCGACTGACAAAGAAGCTGTTGTTAGTGGTGGCCGCATAGCTTCTGAGCGTGAGAAGGATTCTCGTGGTAAATGGAGGCCACGTCATCGTTTGGAAGTTCATGCAGGTGGGTCTGCTTCTTACCGAAGTGCTCCAGGATTTGGTTTGGAGAGGGTGCGAATGGAGGGATCAAATGTGAGATTTGCAGTGGGATCAAATGTATACATAAAGTATAAGGTACAAAATTAACGTTAATAGCTTGAGTAAAGATTCCTGCATGTCAGACTACAAGGCTACAATATTCTTGGTAATAGGCTATAATAGTTTCCATTGTCTTGAAAGGGAAGTAGCAGAACTTCATGCCAAGTTGTGAATATCATACAAACACATGCATATAAAAAGAATTAAACCTTCAATTATCCCCATAGGCACCTTGAGCATACAGAGTTAAAACAGCCTGGATTCGAATAAAGACACCAGAAAAGTTGTATTTTTCAAACATGGTCTCAACCTGCAATCTCAAATCAAAGCCCAAACCATTAGATCCTAACAATAATGTTCTTGAAATTTTCAATCAATCAGTAAACAAATTAATTGGACTACAAACCATTTTTTCGCGGTTTTTTGAGGGATTAAGAGGCGGATCAGTAAGTAATATCTTACATTCTGTTGGATTAATCTGTTTACAAACAACATAGAACATATTTAAGACCAATCAAATAAATAAATAAGGTGAATTAGAACTAACCAACATAAATTAGAAGGAAATATGACCTTTAGTTCATTGAAAAACGCATGATCCCAAACATGACACATATCATCCCAATTCTGCACAATTCCATTGTTAACTGGATATGATATATCCAATTGATGTCTCAAAGCAGCACATGCTTCTCCAACAACATTATCCTGACCAGAGTTCAAAAATTAAAAAACAAAGAAAAAAATCTCAGAAAATTTATTTACAGACCAAAAATATTTAAGCTTTAAAATTTGAAAAAACAAATTAACATGATCTTTGACGTCCAAACCTTTTAAAAGAGGAAAAAGAAAAGGAAAAATTATAAAAGATCAGTTTTTGGACCTTCAACTCTTGTTCCACGAGAGATTCCTCGTACCGTAGCATAGGTCTCCCGACCACGCATGGGAACACCGATGTCGGGAAATTTTCTCCGGCGAAATCACATTTTACGTACTGTAATCGAAGAAAAAATAGATCTAGTGAAGTAAGCTAAAAGAAATGAAATACAACAAAAAAAAAAAGAAAAGATTTTTATATAGAAAGCTTTGAATAGCTTTAAAATGTTTTAATGCGGAGACTAATGCAATGTCAACGTGTGAATCAAGACGGAAAATCAACAAAATAAAAAAGAGAGGAAGAAAACGAATTACGCCGGTGCCGTTGTCGCATACGATGACGTTTCGGTTGTCCATAGCCGGTGGAATGTTGGGTTGGGTGCTTGCTTGAAGCAGAGGGTCGTCAAATTGCAGGAAAGAAAGAATCCGGCGTCTGGTTTCCCAGGTTGTCTTTCCAAATAGTTTAAAATGTCAAAACGACTTCGTTTTGCCTGGACCCATTTGATCGCTTAATTTTGGACCATTTAGTTGGTTTGAGCCCAAAAAGTCTTCGAATACGACGTAGTTTAAAGCAGCCCTCTGTAAAACCATATTATTATACTACCAAGCTGGGGTTTTCTCCTTACTCGAGCAAAAGGAGCCCAAGAAAATACAGCTGCAAAAATGGTAGAACCATTGCTTCCTCTTCTTCAATCTCTCTCTCTCTCTCTTTTTCGTTACTGAAATCAATCTAACCTAAAAAATGTGTTGTTTTGAATCTGTAGGCTCCAAAACGTGGTGTCGAAGCTCCCATAGCTGCTGCTAAGAAGAAAACGGTACTTTTGCTTTGTCACATTGCATTATTTCATGGTTTCAAATCTTTTTTTTCTTTTTTTTGGGGGGGGGGGGTTTGTTTTATATCTTTGTTTGGGGTTTGGTGTTGTTTTTAGGACAAGGTGGTGAACCGGTTGTTCGAAAAGAGGCCGAAGCAGTTCGGGATTTGGGGGGATTTGCCACCAAAGAAGGATCTGACACGGTTCGTTAACTTCCCCAAAACCGTTAGGATTTAGAGGCAGAAGAGGATCCTCAAGCAGAGGCTTAAGGTCTCACCTGCTTGGAATCAGTTCACCAAGACACTCGACAAGAATCTCGGTACAAATACCATTTGCTCCTTGCTATTAGTTCTATTCAAGTTTTTACATTACATATGTCAAGATGATAGTAATGGTTACATTGGTGAACTAAAAGTTATGTTGGGGCTGCGTCAAACTTGTTCAAGATGCTTCTCAAGTACAGGCCTGAGGACAAAGCTGCGAAGAAGGAGCGTCTCTTGAAGAAGGCTCAATCAGAGGCTGAAGGAAAGCCTGCCGAGTCTAAGAAGCGCATTGTTGTGAAATATGGTCTCAACCATGTCACCTATCTTATTGAGCACGTATTATCACTTTTGATCATTTATTTGCTATGGAAGTGTGTTTCCATTGCTACTAGTATCTATAGCGGGTCATTTCTTATTGTCTCAAAGTAAATTTTCCTTGCAGAACAAGGCACAGCTTGTTATAATTTCTCATGATGTGGATCCCATTGAGTTGGTTGTTTGGTTGCCAGCATTGTGCAGGAAGATGGAGATCCCATACTGCATTGTCAAGGGAAAAGCACGCTTGGGAGCGGTATTGCCTGTTATCTTGTATTCTCAGAACTTTTGAAGTTGAGTTATGGATGCAAAACTAAATATTTGTACCTTTATGCTTGATAGATTGTTCATAAGAAGTCTGCATCAGTTTTGTACTTGACTACTGTCAAGAATGAAGATAAGTTGGAATTCAGCAGGATCTTGGAAGCCATCAGGGTGGTGTAAAGTTTCAATCTGCTGTATATTTGTCCTTTTGAATTGTTGGATGGTCTGATTTCATTTGGGGTTCTTTCTTTCTTGTTACAGGCCAACTTTAACGACAAGTATGACGAATACAGAAAGAAATGGGGTGGTGGTATCATGGGCTAAAAATCCCAGGCGAAAACCAAGGCCAAAGAGAAGTTACTTGCCAAGGAAGCTGCCCAGAGGATGACCTAAGAGCTAATTTAGAATTCATTTCCTGTTTCTTAGACATTATTGTCTGAGGTTATCAGCCTCTTTCATTTTTGGCTATTTTAAAGCAGTTCATGATAAAAGCAGAGTGTTCCTTTCCTTTAAAGGCAGGTTATAATTGAATTTTCTTGTAATGCTGTTTGAGGTTGAGTGGTTTTATTCATACTTGAAGCATCCACCTTTATTCATGAACTGTTTAGGGATAGACTTATTGTAACTGACCCATCCTTTATTATTTTATTACAGCTCAATCATGGTGTTTTAATATAATTTTGTGGGTCCTATCTCATCTGAATCTTTTGATGGCTTGCAGCTGATGGCTTTGCAGTTTCACTGATCTTGTAGGTGGAATTTAATAAGACCATGATATCCAACAGCTTTAGACTTGAAAAAGATAGAAGTGTGTTATGCTTGAGATTCTTTTGTTAACTCTGTTTCTTACTTTCTTAATGGTTTCACCCATCAGAACCTTATACCTCGGAATGTTACTTTAATCCTCCTTGTTTCCACCTCCAATGAAGCCCACCCGAAGCAGCTGATTTAACACGGCATGTAGAAAGTCATTTGTGGAATAGATTTTCGGTTTTGTTGTCTGCCATTTGTCTTTTTAACTAGATCTAGTAATTTAAATTATATTTTATATAAAAATTACATATTATAATTTATATCGACATAAAAATATAAAATATAAAATTATTTTTAAAATTTTATATCGTATTATTTTTATATTTTTTATTAATATAATGTTTATATTATATTATGATATTTTAGATTGTCTAAGTATCCGTTTATATTTTATCGCATTTTTGATGCGATGAAATTAGTTTCATCACATTATTAGTTGAATTTAAATATTAATTTTAATAAAATTAAATTAACATTAATTTTTTATTAAATTTTTTTAATTACAATTATAATATTTTTAATCATAATTATAATCATTTTTACTATTTTTAATTTTATCTTAATCAATCTAATAGTATAAAACTTAAATATCCTTTTAACACTGTTACTGAAGAAGCAGGGCAATCATATTTCAAACTTAACATCTAATTGGGCCCAGTTTTCACAACCTGATGGACCACACTCACCGCACCACTTCACCCGTCCTATTGCTGTTTTTTACTTTTTTTTTTCTTTGTCCGAATTCGAAATTATTTTTTATTTATTAAGGTAAAATAAAATATCTAACAACAAAAAATAGTGCTAAAAAAGAAAATAAATTAAGGAGATAAAAAATAAAATAAATTTCTACAGGCATTCAACTACTAAAAAATTTTCTATTTGAGAAAATTTACTAGTAAATTGAAATTTATAATACACCAGTACTCCTTTAAAAAAAAAAAAATTACAAGTAATATATAAGGAGATAAAAACACACTATCCGATAGATTTTTTCTTTTGAAATCTAAGTTTGTGTTAGTTCTGATCAAAATCAGACCCAAACCTTCAATTTCAGAAACCCTAGCAATTTCTCTCTCTTGCTCTCTGCAATCTCTCTCTCTCTCTCTCTCTCTTTGTCCCCTTTTTCAGAACCTTAAACGCCGCCGTGTCTCCGCTGCGATCCCCGCCTTTTAGATTCTCTCAATTTTAATTTTCTCGATGGCTGACGGAAAATTCAATCTAGCTGATGATCTCCTCCCCTCCAAAACGGACTCTGACCTTTCGTCCCTCAAAGGTATTCTGCATTTTCTTTTCCTTTTTTTCAATTTATTTACTTTTTTTTTCAATTTTCCTTTTTTTCCTCCTTCTAGCTTTTTGCATGCCTATTGTATTGGTGTCCCATTTCAATTCAATCGTCCTTTTACAAAAATCTTTTCTTTATTTGAATTTTAATAGTTCAATTTAATTTATTAATTCTAAATTTCAGATTTCGTTAATGATTTATTTGTTTTTCCCTAAGATCTCGTTTAATTTGTTTAAAGGCTTTTAGTTCATTTTACTCCGTAGTAATTCCAAGATTTTCTCTATAAAAGGAAAAAAAAAAAAAAAAGAAAGAAATTCACGATTTTTTCTATGTAGAATTGTATTAGCTCAAACGTTCATTTCAAATGCCCCAGTGATTAAAAGAAAGATCGTAACTTTTTATGAAAAAGAAGATTACTTTAGTTGCTTATCATAATTATTGGAAAATTTTAACTGTCAATGAAAGGTTGACTTGTTTCAATTAGGAAACTTGGCAGTTCAAGCTTAAGGCATTTGATATTTTAGGGACTTCATAAAAACAAGCCTGAAACTTGAGGTTAGGGGATTTCTGCCTAATTCACCTATGTATTAATTATCTTATTTTCTTTTATTGTTGGGAGAAGCTTGGGATGGGAACTTGGAGGAGAACGGACTCACGGGTCTGCTTGATGACACCAAAGGTAATAATATTTGTCTTATGTTGAAATTTTGTATTTTTAAAAACCTGAGCAGCTCTTTTCATAAAAAATTTAACCTTTTTTTTTTTGTGGCCAATAGATCAAGCAACTTCAGAGAGCAGCATACCTCTGTCCCCACAATGGCTTTATGCTAAACCTGCTGATGCTAAGATGTTAGCTGCTGGAGCTTCTGGGGTATGGATCTTTAATTTCTTTTATTCAATGTTTTTGGGGTACTTGCTTTCATTTCCATATCAGCGTTTAATGTGTTGGTTTCTAGTTTTATTTACCCTTATGTGCTGGAAGTATGGGTAAATAGTATATCTGATTACATGTAAATTAGTTAGACTAAATTTGAAGAAATTGGTATAATTTTCATTGTTTAATGCTCATCACAAATTTAGATTTGACTTTTAGCTTGTGACTATTTTTCATTTTGGTTTGCATAGTTTCTGTGGTATAATTTGTTTACTTAACAGGATATAAGAGCACCAAATTCGTTGCCCCATGGGGCCTCTGCTGATCCCAATTTGAAAGATAGTTGGCGTTTAGATGGGTCTCAGGACAAGAAAGACTGGAGGAGGACTGCACGTGATCTTGAAAGCAGTCGACGTTGGCGTGAAGAGGAGAGAGAAACAAGCTTACTTGGTCGAAGAGATCGCAGAAAAGAAGACCGTCGTACTGATATTTCTTCAATGAGGGATGCTCCTGAAAATAGAACCTTGTCATCTTCAGAGCGATGGCATGATGTTAGCAGTCGTAGTTCAGGGCATGAATCTCGAAGAGACAACAAGTGGTCTTCGAGATGGGGTCCTGAAGACAAAGAAAAGGATTCTCGAACTGAGAAGAGGACCGATGCTGAGAAGGAAGATGCCCCGACTGACAAAGAAGCTGTTGTTAGTGGTGGCCACATAGCCTCTGAGCGTGAGAATGATTCTCGTGATAAATGGAGGCCACGTCATCGTTTGGAAGTTCATGCAGGTGGGTCTGCTTCTTACCGAAGTGCTCCAGGATTTGGTTTGGAGAGGGTGCGAGTGGAGGGATCAAATGTGAGATTTGCAGTGGGACGAGGAAGGTCAAATGCTGGTGGAATCCTGCAAAATGGGAGGCCACAATCTGCATCTGTTATTGGATCCCTTCCTTTGGGGAAAAACAGTACTTTTAATGCATATTGCTACCCAAGAGGAAAACTTCTTGACATTTACCGCAAGCAAAAATCTGCTCCAAATTTTGACACCCTACCTGATGAGATGGATCATTTATCACCAATGACACAAGAAGAAACTGTTGAGCCTCTGGCTTTTCTTCCTCCTGATGCAGAGGAAGAGGTATGAGGCTTCTAATCTGATTTATAGGAGAAAAAAGTAATCATCTTTATCCTTCTATAAGGGTGCTTCAAATTTGCTTGCGTGATTCTTGCAGGCTGTCCTTGGAGATATATGGAAAGGAAAAACTACAAGCAGTGGAGTGTTCTACAGCTCATTTAGAGACACAAGTAGGGAATTGAATGACAGCATTGTTGCTACTGTTTCATTTATGTTGAAACTTACCTAGTAAATAATTAGATTGTCTTTCAGATGCTGAGTTTTTTTTTTTTTTTTTTTCCCATTCTAATTCCGGTCTTACTGATGTGATTTCAGGTGAAGGGAAACAAAGTTTCTTGGCTAACAGGGAGGATAATGTTGAATCTGGTGAGAAGGCTGCTGTAAACAATAATTATCAAGGGAATCATGCTGAGACATTTTATGTGTCAGATTCACAGACCAAGGGTAGGAAACTTTCATTTTTAAGTTGTTGAATATCTGCAGTCTGTTGTGAAAATATTCACGATTTGTTCTTCTTGTCATTACAGAAATGAATAGTTCAAAAGAAGGTGGACAGAGATGTCTGACACCATCTGATATGGATGTAACGAATGCTTTGGTGTCAGATAGGGAGATTGGTGGGTCCATAAATGATATTGATGAATTAAAATCTTTTGATAACCAACAATTGGTTGATTTGAAAATGCAAAAGCACCACAAGGTGGAGGATAATGAATCTTCCATGCACGTTGGAGTTGGTAGCGAGCTTCCTGAAGACTCAAGTTCTCTATTTGATTTTCTGTCACTACAGCCTACTCTAGGCCATAACCAGATAAACATTGAGGGTAATAGTGAGGCACATTCACTAGAAAGTGTTACCCCTCCTGAGGATTTGAGTTTGTGCTATCTTGATCCTCAAGGGGTAATTCAAGGACCATATCTGGGGATTGACATAATTACATGGTTTGAGCAAGGTTATTTTGGTACAGACTTACCTGTTCGATTGGCAGATGCTCCTGATGGATCACCTTTCCAAGAACTTGGTAAAATCATGCCACACCTAAAAATGAATTCTGGTTCTGCCTCCAGTGTTAGTGCAGTTACTAGAATGCAAATACCTGATTCCTTTGAATGGAGCTTGGAAAAGACCTTATCTTATTGTGCTTCTCCTCCTGAGATGAAGGGGTCTGCCATTGGATGTGAGCAGCAGCAGATTTTTTCTGCTTTTGAGACTTCTGGTACTCATTTTCATTCTAGAGGACCTACTCCAAATTATGATTCTGAGCATCAGTTTTCTGAAGATCGAAGCCTGCATAAATTTGCTGCTGCTCAAGAAGAGGGTAAGTTTAATGGGTTGGACCTATTGTTCATTTTGTTTTTTGTTGTGTCTGTTAATGATGCCTTTCTTTCTTTCTGTGTTATACAGAAATTATTTTTCCTGGAAAGTCCGGAAGTGCTGGTGGTGACCCTTTGAAAGTTTCTGGTGAAATTCAAGTTCCTTTCAGTAATCCTGCAAGCCTTTTGTCAATTGCAAATGAATTGTCAAAAACCAATGTACCTTCTCATCGAGATGATGAGTTGGATGCTTTTGGCTTGTTGATGTCTGACTTGACAAGCACCTCTGATTTGAAGCGTTCTCAATCATCTGATATGACTTCCAGCATAGGTGATAGAGGGCAGTGTTTAGATCCTCTGCTTGATAGAGAGTCCAATTTTGCCAGTCAGAGTGTTGTTGGTACAGTGGCTGAACAAACTTCTTTTCCAGAGGCTTGGCGTGATGATTATAGAAGAAATGCTTTGCCTAATCCTAACATTCATCTAGGCACTACTGGTGCTCGGCCCTCATCTCACTGGGAGCAAGAATACAATGGTTTTGACCTGGTACAGCACCTAATGTCACAAAAGTTGACCGATGAACCACTTCAAGAGAAAAATCATTTCTCTCATCCCTTTCCACATTCAGCTGGATTCAGTGTGCAGCAAATTCATGGTTTTGATCTTATGCATAGCAAGAATCTCAATCACCAGCTGTCAATCCATCATTCAGCTCCAGATATGGAGAATCTTTTGGAACTTCAGTTTCAACAGCAGCGGCAGTTGGAACTTCAGCAACATCAGCAACAGTTGGAACTTCATCGGCGGCAGCAGTTGGAACTTCGGCGGCAGCAGCGGCAGCAGCAGCAGCAGCAGCAATTGGAACTTCAGCGGCAGCAGCAGCTGCAATTGGAACTTCAGTGGCAGCAGCAGCTTCGTCACCACCAAATTAAATTGTTGCAGCAGCATTCTCAAGCTCAGCAGTTGCTTCTTGATCAATTGCTGCAGCATCAGATGTCTGATCCTGGTTATGGTCAGAACATATATGATGCTGCAACAGATAACCTACTTGATCAGGTTCAGTTACAAAGGCATCTCCTGAGTGAATTGCAGCAGAATTCTCCTGCTGCAAGGCACCTGGATTCATCCCTGGAGCAGATCATCCAAGCAAAGATTAACCAGAGTGCACTCCAAGGGCAAAAGGATGATTCTTTGGATTTCATGTCGGCGAAGTATGGCAGTATGCTTCCTTCAGAGCATCAGCTTCATCTTCAACAAGAGCAGTTGCAAGTGCAGCAATTATCTATGGCACTGAGGCAGCAATTAGGAATGGAGGGGGATAGACGACTCGCTGGTTCATGGTCTGTAGATGAAGTTGGTCAGTTTTTCAGGAATCCTAGCAGTCATCAGCAGGCTCAATCAGTGGGGTTGAATGCTTCGGATCTCTGCCAACAGGAGCTTTCATCTCTTGAAGAGCAATTCAGCAATGTCAAAAGGAATCATGCTTTGCAGGAGCTACAGCAGCGAGGGATTTTTTACCCCAGCCCAACAGCATTTGGTAGGTCTACTCTTCCTTCTGCTGCTCCTGGCATGAAAGTGGACAATGTAAATTCTCTAGATCTAGCTGAACATCTCTATATGCACTCCAACAACCAATTGAGTCCTTTTTCTTCTGGTAACCACTCTATTAGCCAACAAATTTCGGGTGATGCATATGCTTCTCATCCAGATGCAATAGAGAGCTACCACTCTAGGAAAAATGGGCAGCTAGAAAATAGTTGGACTGAAAAACAGATACAACAAATAAATCTTGAAGCAGAGTTGCAAAGAAGGGAGTCTGAAGTTGATTCAAGCACTTGGGCATCAGCTGGAGGGGTTCATGAAAACTCGAGGAAAGCTTTAATGGACCTTCACCAAAAACTTAGTATTCAATCCACACAGTCATCAGAAGTAGATTATCAACCTTCTACTTCATCTTCCAGAGGGCAGGAAACCTTGTGGCCTGTTTCTGAGCCGCAAACTTCCAATTTTCCTTTTAATCATTTCCCAAATCAGGAAGTTAATGGGAGCAACTCGTTTTTGGAAGGCTCTCAAAATTCCAATACAAGTGTTTTGTTGCAAGATCATTTGTTTGGAGTTGCTGTGAGTGATTGTGTCAACCATATGGTTAACTGTGAAAGATTTCCTCTTAAAGCCAATTCTGGCTCATTTGCAAAGGAACGGTCATTCTTGTTGGGCATTGAAGATCCTTCTCATAGTAGTTATGTGGATGCTAGCTTGATGGGAAAATCAGCTATGGGTAAAGAATTAGCAGAACTGGAGGGAAATGAGATGAAAAATGGATTGAAAGGCATGATTGCAAGGAGCGGTTCTGTGTCTGGGTCTGAGGGCAATATGGTAGAGCAAATAGAGAAAGCCTTGGACTTTGGTGACCTGCAAAGTAGTAACCATAGCTGTCATGATTCTCTTAGTACCGGTAATCTGTCAAAACTTATTTTTTCAGTAAATGCCAATTTTTTATATGAATTAAATCTTAAAAGGAAGTGAATTGGTGCAGGTGGGATCGGCAGGATGTACAGTTACGAAATTGGATTAGATAAATCAGTTCAAGAAGATGCTTCTAATGATAGGTGAGGTTCTTTTCTATATGGTTTGTATAAGAGATTAATACTTAGTCCATTATAATGGCTTCTAATGATGGTTTGTGTAATAGCTGCTGTCACAATGAATACGAGTCAACGTTGGAGCTTTTGTGTTTTATATTTTTATTGTTATGTGTTCTTAGTTTGATAATTTGTGCAGCTATGATACACTAACCTGATAATGCTGAGCTCTCTCTCCCTCCCCTATTGGCATTTAACTTGAGTGCACATCTTTGCTTGTGCACGTGGCTTGACAAATCCATCTAAAGGTTCTCTTGTTATTGATAGGTTATCGGCATTGCTGCCAAAAACGCTTGACAAAGTTTCACCGAAATGCCCACCTGTATCACGGGTTTCGTCATCCCATGATGTTTTTTCTGATCAAAACTCACTGGCATTTGTCAAGCAGAAAAATTCTACAAGCCTTACAATTTCTGATGGTATGATTTTAACTCTTCTCTTTCTATAATTATAGAAATGATGCACAAAGAAAAAGAAAACATATATACCTTGTCTGTACTTGTTTATAATGGTCACGAAATCATGTGTTTCATTTACTGTGTTCAGAAGGAAGACCGGAGGCTGTGGCGAATCTAGGTGCAATGAGAACCGTAGAAACTCAGGCATCTGGAAAGAAAGATGTCCGTTTTAGAAGGACCTCGTCTTGGAATGATGCTGCAGTGTCGGAAGCATCATTTATAGAGATTCTTAAGAAGCCGGTTCTTCACGGGACTGAGGCTGCGAATGGCTCTGCTTTGGAACCATCTGATGGTGTTTCACAGGCTGGACGAAGTGGTAAGAAAAAAGGGAAGAAAGGAAGACACATTGATCCTGCCTTACTAGGTTTCAAGGTCACAAGCAACCGCATAATGATGGGTGAGATCCAACGCCTTGACGATTAACAACCTCATCTATACTTACCGTGTTGTACATTCCTTGTAAAATTTTTTAACCAATTTTTATACAAATAAGCATTGGTAATTGATTGATTTTTTTAAATAATAATACAAAATTTTTGGTTTTAAGAAGCAACATATATGTACGTTCACTCTCATTTTCCTGAAAATGAATGAGACTCGAGAATGACTTATCTAACCTGTTTTAGGTCTTGGTTTTGCCAAATCCTGCGAATTAAATCTTATTGTTCATTTCGAGTTCGCCTACGAGAGAAGAAAAAAATGCCCTCGATTGACTTCTGGTAATCAATGAAATATCAACTAAGAACAGTTATTTTGAAGTTCTAATTAAAATAACGATTATTTGAAAGTCGAATTTTTTATAAGACATCACGCAATTTCAAGCTTTTATCTTGGCTTAATCCTTTTGGATGATGTTAAAAGGCGTTATTTTATACTAATTCATTCAAGATTTTAGATTACATAATACGTTTCGTTTATTTAAGACTGTTTTCAGGTTACATAATACGTGGCTATATGTATCGACAAAATAACTGATAATTCTAGTTGAATTTTTCTTTTTTAACCAAAAATTTCGACTTTATATATTTATTTATGACGAATATTGGAACTCAATTTGACAAGAAGACATTCATTCATTATCACTTGAACTAATTACTTTGAATATATTAAAAAAAAATTGGACTGCTGTTCCAATGGTTTTTCTGTTGAAAAATAAGTTAATAATATATTTTAAATTGGTTAAAATCAAAGTAAAAAAGTTGGCAGATAAGATAAGAAGCCTGCAAAACGAAAGAAACAAATAATATTAAGAATGGATGGTTAAAACGTGGTTTTCCCATCTAAGCAATTGTCAGCCTGAAACCTTCACCTATAATGTCGCTCTTGATCTTAACAACCTCTCTTTACCTGGTATTGTTTTCATTCACCAAATTCCTGAATCATTCTAGTTTTGATTCCACCATTGAAAAGCACTGTGTTCTGTTGAAAGCCTGCCTGTGATCTGCAATCATGGTTTCAGCGGTGGATCCTGATAACATTCGTGTCTTTGGACAAATGCCAAATTACACCATACTAAATTCCAGTTATGTTTGTTCCTCCATCTCCAAGTTACAAAGGAACGGTGTATTTTACTCTTCCAATCCTCTGGCTTTTGCGCTCCCTCTTTTGCTGATCCAAATGACCCTTGCCTCCGCTGCCATTCTCCTTACGTTTTTTCTCGTCAGGCCTCTTGGCCACCCCGTCATGCTGGCTCAAATTTTAGTAAGCTCTTTCCTTTTTCTTATTTCCTCTTTATTGTTTCTTTTCCTTTCCTCGCAACACAAGCAAAGGAAATAAATAAAAAAAAAAAAAAAAAACACCCAAGTTGGCATGAGTAGTTTTAATCGCTAGAATTTTATATATCCCTTTTTGTCTTAAACTTGATTGATTGTTTATGGTCGATCAGGGTGGAATAATAGTAGGGCCATCATTTCTGTGCCGGATTCCGGGCCTTCTCAACACCATATTCCCCATCAGAAGTTTTTTACTGCTGGATATAGTATCAACTATAGGTTGTATGTTTTACTTCTTCCTCATTGGTGTACAAACAGATATATCGATGCTTAAGAAAATAACCAGAAAGACATTTGCCATTGGGTTTTTCACCATGGCAGTGCCAATGATACTAACCATAGGCAGCTCCATTTTGTGGACGCATTTCTATGATCCTAGCTCGGTGAAGATAGATAAACTTCCGGCAATAGCAGTAACAGAATCTGTAATCTGCTTTCCAATTATAGCATACTATCTTTCCGAGCTTAGGATTATAAATTCAGAATTTGGCAGAGTGGCATTATGTTCTTCCATGGTTAGTACGCTGTGCAGTTTGTGTGTGATTACGTCTTATCTTCTATGGAGTCAATCAGGATATGACATATCACTTTTCTTTAGAGCAGTTTGTTATGTTATCGCCTTTGCAGTTCTTGTCTGCTTTATTCTTGGCCCTATACTTCTTTGGGAGAAGAAGCAGATTTTGGTAGGAACCCCTTCGAAACAGGGTAACATAATTGTGCTATTTTTAGCTGTGCTTATGTCAGGGTTTTGGGGTCAGGGTTTTGGTTTAAACATATATTTTGGACCCCTTTTATTTGGGTTATTAATACCATCAGGGCCGCCACTTGGGTCAGTGCTAGTAGAGAAGCTTGATCTCATAATTTATTGGATGCTAATGCCGCTATATTGTGTGAAATTTGGCCTGACAGTAGACATCTTTGCTCTTAGTATTAGAACTTACTCCGGAGTGCAACTCATTGCCTTGTTGGGTGCATGTGGAAAGTTCTTAGGAGCCTCTATATCTGCGCTCGGATGCCAAATGTCGCCCAGTGATGCTATCTCGCTTGGCTTTGTGATGACTTTCCAAGGCATGCTCGAGCTTAGTTTGTTTATCTTAATGAAGACTAAAAGGGTATGTTTTCCAGAGATCTTTTAAGGCAATCATTCGTTGTTACCTACTGTATTGTCATTTACAACAGTTGATGTTTCACTGTTGCATTCCATGTTAATGCTACAACACATTTAGATGCTCATTGCAGATAATAGATGGTGAATCTTTTGTGGCCATGTGTGCATCATTGTTGATAACAACAGGAGTTATTACACCAATGGTACGACACTTCTGCAATCCTTCAAGGAGGTACGTGGTCTACCATGGAAGAACTTTGATGGATTCGAGACCAAACTCAGAACTAAGATTACTAGTCTGCATTCATGACCAAGAAAATGTTCCATCTGCCATTAGCCTCCTCAAGGCTTTAAATCCCGGCAAGCAAAGTCCAATTGCTGTTTACATGCTTCATCTGATTGAGCTTACTGGGAGCGCAACCCCACTCTTCATTCCTCATAAGAAGACCAGAAAGTTCTCTTCTAGGACGAGTAGCTCAGGACCTGTTATCAATGCCTTCACAAACTTTGAGGAAAACCATGGGGGTCATGTCTCAATTTTCCCCTTCATTTCAATATGTCCTCCTCAAACAATGCATGATGATGTGTGTGCAATTGCACTTGACAAAGGGATTTCACTTGCTATAATTCCTTTCTTCAAGAGATTTCATTTCGATGGTGCATTACAGTCGTCTAAAAGGGCCATGAAGATCGCCAACCAGAATGTCCTTGATAAGGCACCTTGCTCAGTTGCAATACTCATTGATCGTGGGCCCCTCAAAACCCTGAGTGCCATTTGGACATGCTGGTCTTCTTACGAAGTTGCTGTTATCTTCTTGGGTGGAGCTGATGACCGGGAGGCATTAACTTTGGGGGCTAGGATGGCTGGACTTCCCAATAACAAGTTGACACTGATACGAATCCTTTATGATGGGAATTTTCCTGATAATTATATGGAAGGGAGGAGACTTGACGATGAAGTTCTTAATGACTTTCGATCTAATATCTCTGGGAACTATTGCGCCAAGTACAAAGAGGAACTAGTGATGGATGGCGCAGGGACTGCTTCTGTCCTTCGCACCCTAGAGAATCAATACGAACTTGTAGTGGTAGGCAGGCGTCATGATGGTCTGTCACCTCTTTTGTCAGGGTTGAGAGAATGGAATGAAAACAGGGAGTTGGGTGTAATAGGTGACCTGTTGTCTTCTTCCGATTTCTTGGGCGACACCACAATCTTGGTGGTTCAACAACACACCGATTACAGTTGTGGCGAATGAAATGAAATAGGTGGTGGTTTGAACCGAAGTTTTATTATAGATGAATTGGAAGCTGAGTGAGATGCCATTCCATAGGGAATTCTGTAAAGTCTTCAAAAGTGAGGATTAGATAGCTGTATAAGTGTCCAAGCAATTATAACAAAAAAAAAAAAAACACTGTTCTGTGCTATACTTTATACATCCTTCCGCACACTGTTTCCTGACAACTTTTTTTTTCCTGTATTGCTTGAAGCAACTTTATAATTGACTCTGGCTTTTAAAGGAGAAGAAAACAATAATATAGCTTTGATAAGCTTTCTCTTTGCTTTTATAAAGTAATATATATATATATACACACTCATACAAGTAGATTTTGGTATCTTAAATTATTATCAAGGAAAAAAAAAAAAGGAAACAAAAAGAAGGGCTAATGTGCATAATAATCCACAATACATTTATTTTGTTTTCCTTCTTCATTGAGGCTACTTTCTATATAAACTTCTAGCTTTGTACAATCCATGTAGACATTCACTGTACAGATGTTACTTACAAGAGATACAATGAAAGATATACAAATACCAGCAGTAACTTTTACAGTACAGTAACTGGCTAATGCTTTTTCATTTCTTTACAGTATCAGGACATTGGTAACTAAACAAGGGAGAGGGTAATTTTTACCGAGTTTTCTTTCCTTGCTCCCTACGTATATCTTTTTGAGTTGATATCTGATATTCCTGAACAAATATCTACTTAAAGGAGGACTATATAGGGAGAGAAGTCAGGAGTAAGATCTAATTAACTTGAAATTCTGAAAAGCTCGAGCTTTGAATAAGTTTCCAAAGAAATAACCTTTTGTTGTCTCTTGATGAGGTGGTTTTCGTGCAAGACTTGAGCTATGTTTCACCTGCAGTGCGGTCTGTCCAATCTGTTGACGGACAGAATCAATGATCTTGGGATCGACGGGATTTCCTGTGACGTCTGTAACATAGAAGGTGTCCTTCGCCTTGCCACCTTTTGTTGAAATTAATGCTCTCTTGATACATAAGCTGTTTTCCCGGAATATCCGGGTGATGTCAGACAGGAGTCCAAGTCTGTCTTCTGTGCACAATTCTAGCTCCAGCCCCTGTACCATGAGATGATGCAGGGTATTACATCAATGAGTCTAAGCATGCTAATCATAATCAAGTTTCTTTTTTTTTTTTAAATCTTTTAGTTTTCCGTGTGTGTGATTGGGTGTGCATGTAGTGGTGGGGAGATGGTTTCCTATACCTCGGATGCTCTCCTCTCAATGGCTGCTTCAAGACATTGTATAACACGGACACGCTCGGCTTCCGAGCTAATGGGGAGCCCATCCACATGTCGGATATAAAATTCCTACAACCAAACAGAAATTCCGTTTAACAGGAAAGGAAAAAAAAGTTAATGTCATTAACACAGTCGAGTCTACAATTCTAAGCATATTAAGTAATGCTCAACTGAGTAGAATTCCAACACAAAATGGATTAAAACGTCAGCACCATCTTCCACCAGTGGTTTCAATATGGCATCAGCTTGTCAAATTCTGAAAAGCTGATCAATATATCACAGGATGATAGGACTGCTACTACATTAAAATAGATCATTCTATCAGTTTTTTTAAAAACTATCTCACCTGATATGCTTCCATCCTTCCTGTGTTGACCATTCCGTGAAAAACGACATACTGCATATCTGTAAGAGTGCAGACAATATCAAACAATAGTTTTGGCCGATCTTTTGACCTCATGGTAATAACAGTGTACTCTTTCTCGATATTCAACAGAGTGACTTGGGGTCTTGAGCTCCCTTCCTCTACTGCCCTTAATCCTGCCCTGTCAACCCTTTCGTAGTCCCTATCTGCGAACATGATTTGATGCAACCTTCTCTCCCTATGCATAACACCTGGAGCTGAAAGCATTGTTTTTGCTGTTTTTAAATCATCACTTCCTTTAAGAACATTACAAAGTAATTCCTTTATTGTTGAAAGACGTTTAGGATCTCTGATTGCACAGCCTGTTGAATAATCTGTCACATGAACTACAGCTGCAGCCCTAGCATTATGGGTCCAAACCTCAGCATTTACAACATTACAATGGAGGTCCGCAAGAACTGCACATACTTCAGATAATAGACCAGGCCTATCAGTGCCAGCAAGTTCAATTGATGTATGCTCTTCTGACGGCATTACCCCTACGGAGCCTCTCCGTGAAGATACAAAGCCAGCACTAGTTTCAATTCTCTGCAAAATTAAGGAGTAAGATGAAAATAGGAAAATAAAAAGCTTTACCAAACATTTGCGGTTCATGAAGAAACAAGCAACGGATGACAGAGAAAAAGGCAGTGGTTGAATTCATTGAACAATGAGGAAGAGCTGTCCTTGCCAAAACCATGAAATTTGCAAGGTCAGGAGTTTTAGTCTATTATATTGCAATTCAACAAAAACTACAGAAAATTAAAATCTGTGGGGAGGCTAAAAGAGTAGCATGAGATAGGTTCTTACCCTTTGAATACAGTCAATAACTTCCTTATCTCTGATTTTGTTGCCATCATTGTCAACGACATTAAAAACTGAAACATGGCAACATATTAAAAGACATTAATATAAGTAACTGGTTTACCATGGATTTAACATAAATTTTGAGCAGTTTTAAGATAAAACCTTACCATCCATAAACCATCCTCCATCAGATGTTATGTATGCTTTTGTTATTACTAGATTCATATCAGTAAGAACTTGGACAACTTCCAGGAGAATTCCATGTTTGTTGACACTGTCAACCTGAGCAGAAAATTCACCTTTAAATCATAATATATCTCGAACAAATAAAAAAATGAAAGACATCAAAGCACCTGTTCGACCAGCTGAAAGGACATCGTTAACTGTTGGAACATATTCCTATTGACTCGACTAATCCCCGACCTTGTCCCTCCCTTTTTTTTCTTTGCAATTCATGTGCTACTCAAACAACATCTCAGATTCTCAGAGGTCCAAAATCCAAATATATCATCCTAATGCAAATGCTTAACTTGATAGAAACAAAGATCTAAGGAACTAATTAGCCACATATGATAATTTAACCTAATTACAGTAAAGCCAGAGCCTAAACAGCAACATAGCAAAGCATGAAGCTTACCTCGATAACAGTGGCATCCTCAGAAGCATTATTGTCAATCACGACTCTGCAATAACAAAACCATATATCTCAAATTAACTCTAGGTTTTCTCCATAAAAATTCAATACTAATAAAACAATGAAAAGTAAAATCAAGAGCCATCAAGAAAACATGTCAAATTTGATACACTTTTGTTGGGGAAGTCAATTGGCTCACTTGGTTTTGAATTTGAAGGGGAAAACTGTAACTCTAATAACTAAAGAAAGAAAATGAAAAGCAATTTAAATTATTGTAGAACCTTATTCAGTTCTTATGAAAAATTAAAAAAAAAAAAAAAAGAAGAAAAACTGCAATCTTCTTTTCTTCAGTTTCCTATAAAAATTCTCATCAGCCAAACGAGCAGAATAAAAATTAAAAAATAAAAAAAAAACCATCAAACAGTAACAATAAAAAGATAACTTGCAAGAAATGCAAACATTATTCTCTGAAAAACTTGGAGCAAACATAGAAAATTTGACAAAAACTTCACCAAATTCAAACCAAAATTCCACTATCCCATCAAAAACCTCAAAACCCAGACAACATATTTCAAAAAAAAAAAAAAACTTACCTGGGTTGGTTCACCCTCCTGATAAGCTTAGCATATTCATCATCCATTTCTCAAAAAAAAAATCCAAATTTCTCCAAACTAAAGACCACCCAACAGCCCAAAAAACCCAACTTTTTCAAGGAATAATTTATTAACTCACAAACCCCAGAACCCAGAATTTCCCAAAGGGCACCTTTTATTGTTCTTCTCCTCTGATTCTGTACAAAATTGAAAAAAAAAAATTGGCTCTTCCAATATTCAAGGAAAACACATGAGAAACAAAAATAAAAAAATAAAAAAGTGGTACTAAAAAATAATGGCAAAGTAGGGTCTCAGCCGTTTAACAGACACGACACAATTACTTGAAACGTTGACAAATAAACAATAAAAAATAAAAAGACCTTTAAGAGATGGAAGGACTTAAAGAGAGAAGCTGTAGACGATAAACGGCGCTCTGGGATTCATTCAGCACGTGAGGAGAACAGGGAGAGTGACGTGGCAACTTTACACGTGACTGAACGGTTTGGTAGGAGATTCTGCCGGTGTTTTTGTCGGCGCCCATGTTATTTTAATCCCTAACCCCAAATTACCCCTTTCATTAACTTAGAATTACAAACGACTTTTTTTTTATTTTTCTTTATAATATTCTTTTAAAAAAATACTTTTTTTAAATTTTCTTTCTCTAGTTTTTTTTTTTTTTTTTTTCATTATCCAAGAAAAGTGATGGAGACACTATATATAAGACTTAAGACTGGTCGCCCCTTTTTTCGGGCAAAGGTTTCTTTTCCAAATTTAGGAAATTAATTTATTACCCTTTATCATTTCCACACCAAGATTTCTTAATTATACAATGAAAAAATCATTATTGTTGTATAAAATCAATATATATTAACATATTTTATGGTTAATTAAGAAAAATAATTAGTATCCAAACATTTAACTTAATAATTGATCGATGTATGATCTTTAATTTAAAAGAGTATAAGGTTTGAGTTTTTTAATTCAAAAAAGAGAGAAATTCAATGAAAAAAAAAAAGAAATCAAATGCCTACCAAAGTACAATCTCACATGATTTCAACAAAAAATGTTTGTTTTTGTGTGGATAGTCCAAATTTTCAACTTTATAATATAATTTATATTCAATAAAAACCTTATTTTTTATTTTTTTATTAATATACATATTATGTATATTTATTTAAAATTACAAATAAATTGAAAATTATTTCATTGCAATCATAAATTGGGTCAGAGAAAAATCAAAATTGAAGACATGAAATTAGGAAATTGAATTAATCCATAAAGAGTAGGAGAAAATACATAGT